TGTCTCTGAAAAGTTATATAGCTATCCCTTCCACATCATGACTTTCTCCATCACAGTTTCAATATATCACTGGTTGGCATAAGAAATTTTGCAGAAGCCGCAGACGATACCCAAAGGCCAGCAGACAACACAGAGTCAAATACTTAACCCAAATTTTACAATAAGGTACTGTAAACATCCCCTTAAAAGAAAAAAAAATTGGACGTCTTTGGTACAAAGATATTTTGTGTGGGTTTTCCAGATCACCAGTATGCCAGTGCCTCTAACCCCTGAGATGTGGAAGGAGTAATTGTATTAGCAAAACAAAAAGATTAGTGAATTTAGTTTGCAATTAAAATAATAGAAAATAAATAAGCAAGTAAAATGAAGAAATCTTGATAAAGGAACATTAAAGAAACTTTAAAGACTTTACAACAAACCAGAGAGCTTTTTTTTTTTTTTTAACTTTGACCACTCTAGAAAGGTCAGTTATTTTTGTCAGTGTGAGTGTGGGGAATGTGATTTTGTCTAGAGTATAGCTTGATCCATGGTCGTCTTAAAGGTTCTTATGAAAATAAACATATTGTGTTTGTGATTTTTTAAAAATGAATACAATATTGGAAGCATTTATTTTGAACAAAGATCTAACACTGAAATGGAGAAACATTAGAACCCAGTAGAAAAGGGTAAAGCAAGAAAGCCCCATCTTCCTACTGTTATTTCACTAGAAATTAGTTGTGGTAGTAAGACAAGAACAAAATTAAAGATGTAAATATGAGCAAAGAGGACACAAAACTGTCCCTATTTGTGAATGACCTAATGGTGTGCTTAGAAAAGCTCTTTATAGTAGGTTACAAAATAAACCATAAAAATCAGAATTTCAATATAGTATTAACCAAAAAACCCAAAGAAACGATGATAACAGAAAAAATCATTCTAAATAACCATACAACAGGTGAGATATATGGAAGTTATCTTATTAAAACATAAGATTTACAGAAACATAGTTTCAAGACTGGCAAAAAATAAAAGATCACTTATATAATTGGAGAGAGATTCACTGCTCAGGATTGTGCCATGCCAGTTTAATGAAGGTCATTATACTCACTAAAATAACTTACAAAATTTAGTGCTAATAAAATTAATCTAGAAGAAGAAATTATCTAAGTGTAAGAGAAATAACGAGAGAAAATATGAATGAGATTTCAAATTATGGAGTAGAGATCATCAAAACTTGTGGCTACTGGTTTAAAAATCAGGAAAGTATGTTAGTGGAATTATTGTTGTAGTCTGAGAGGTTCAGAGACCCCTCAGAGACTGGAGTACAGGACAGGGTCATCTGGAATGAATTCACAGACTCAAGCATTCTTTGAGTCAAGTTGGCAAATATTTACTGTTACACTTTTCATCAGGCAAGAATTCTTAAGGAACCTGTGAGAAACTGATGATGGGGCTGGGGTTTATATGGAAAAGGGCATGTGAAAGGAGTGCCAGGGATACTAATTAGATAATCTAAAGGTCCAGATGTCTTTGGAAGCTATCGACAGGAAAGTGTGGGGAGTATACCAGACAAGGAGGGAGTTGTCAGAGGCATGGATCTTGGGAATCTGGCAGGAGGAAGAGACCATGGGCCAGCCAGGGACAAAACTCCTTGGACCAGATAAGGCACCCCTCTCTCTCTATCCTGATTAGCAACAAAGAAAAGTTTTCTCACAAGACAGGAGCTTACTTAGGAATTGGGAGGCTTCCAGAGAGACATGATCTTTCACTGAAGAGAAGAACTCTTTAAGAAGCAAAATTGGCCAAATAGAAAAAGAGGTACAAAAATTTATTGAAGAAAAGAATACCTTAAAAAGTAGAATTAGGCAAATGGAAAAGGAAGTACAAAAAACTCACTGAAGAAAATAATTTCTTAAAAATTAGAATTGGGCAAGTGGAAGCTAATGACTTTATGAGACATAAAGAAACAATAAAACAAAATCAAAAGAATGAAAAAATAGAAGAAAATGTTAAATATCTTATTGGGGAAAAAAAACTGACTTGGAAAATAGATGCAGGAGAAATAATTTAAAAATTATTGGACTACTTAAAGCCATGATCTGAAAAAGAGCCTAGACATCATCTTTCAAGAAATTAAGGAAAACTGTCCTGATCTTCTAGAACAAGAGTGTAAAATAGATATTGAAAGAATCCACCAATCACCTCCTGAGATTGCCAAATGAAAATTCCCAGGGATATTATAGCCAAATTTTCAGAGCTCCCAGGTCAAGGAGAAAATATTGTAAGCAGCCAAAAAGAAACAATTAAAATATTGTGGATCTTCATTCAGGATAACATAAGACTTAGCATTATAGGATCAGAGGGCTAGGAATATGATATTCCAGAGGGCAAAAGAGCTAGGATTACAACCAAGAATCACCTACCCAGCAAAACTTAGTATAATCCTTTGGGGGAAAAGTGGACATTGAATGAAATAGAGGACTTTCAAGCATTTCTGATAAAAGGGCCAGAGCTGAATAGAAAAATTGACTTTCAAATATAAGAGGAGCATAAAAAGGAAAACAGGAAAGAGAAATCTTAAGGCTTCAAAAAGGTCAAATTGTTTACATTCCTACATGGAAAAATGATACTTGGGGCAGCTAGGTGGTGCAGTGGATAGAGCACCGGCCCTGGATTCAGGAGGACCTGAGTTCAAATCCGGCCTCAGATACATAGCATTTTACTAGCTGTGTGACCCTGGGCAAGTCACTTAACCCCATTGCCTAACCAAAAAAAAAAGAGAGAGAAGAAAAATGATACTTGTAACTCCTTAAAACCTTCTCATTGTTAGGGCAGTTAGGCGTATACACAGAAAACATAGGTATGAGTTGAATGTGATGATTTTCTTTAAAAAATAAAATAAAATTAAGGGATGAGAAAGAGGAGTACACTGGGAGAAGGGAAAAGGGAGAGGTAGAACAAGGCAAATTATCTGATATAAAAGAGGTGTGAAAGAACTTCTACAATGGAGGGGAAGGTGGAGAACAGGGATAGTATATGAGCCTACTCTTATCAGAATTGACTCAAAGAGGGAATAACATATACCGTCAGTTGGGTATAGAAGTTTGTCTTCCCATATGGGAAAGTGGGAGGGGAAGAGGATAAGAGAGGGGGGGTGGTGCTGATAAAAGGGAGGGAGAATTGGGGGTGGTGGTAGTCAGAAGCTTTTGACTTCTTTTGAGGATGGAGGGTAAAAGGAGAGGGAGAGTAGGACAAATGGGGAAAATAGGATGGAGGGAAATACATAGTAATCATAAATGTGAAAAAAATTTTATGGCAAGTTTTCTGATATAGACCTCATTTCTCAAATGTGTGGAGAACTGCATCAAATTCATTAAAATAAGCCATTCTTCAGTTGATAAATGGTCAAAGGATATATGAACAGCCATTTTTCAGATGAAGTAATCAAAGCCATCTATAATCGTATGAAAATATGCTCTAAATCACTATTGATTAGAGAAATTCAAATTAAAACAACTCTGAGCTACCACGCCATGCCTATCAGATTGGCTAATATGACAAAAAAGGAAAATGACAAATGTTGGAGGGGATATGGGAAAATTGAGACACTAATGCACTGTTGGTAAAGTGTTATACTATTTCAACCATTCTTTATAGGAATTTGGAACTATGCCCAAAGTGTCATACCCTTTGACCAAGCAATAGGTCTGTATTACAAAGAGATTAAAAAACAAAAAGGAAAAGGACCTATATGTAAAAAAATGTTTATAGCAAAGGTATAGCAATGAATTGGAAACTGAGGAGATGTCCATCAATTGGGGAATGGCTGAACAAGTTGTGGTATATGATTGTGATGGATTCTGTTGTGCTCTAAGAAATGATGAGCAGGATGCTCTCAGAAAAACCTAGAAAGACTTACGTGATATGAGCAAAACCAGGAGAACACATACATAGTAACAGGAATATTACTGCATGATGATTAACTGTGACTGATTTAGTTTTTCTCAGCAACACAGTGATCCAAGACAATTCTAAAGGACTTAATGATGAAAAATGCTATCTCCAGAGAATATGGAGTCTGAATGTGAATTGAAGCATACTTTTTCTTTACTTTATTTATCTTGGGGTTTTTTTGGTCTGTGTTTTCTTTTACACCATGAATGACATGAAAATATGTTTTGTATGACATCACACGTATGACTACATCAAATTGCTTGCCTTCTCATGGCGAGGGGGGAGAGGAAAATTTGGAACTCAAAAAACTTTTTAAATGAATGTTAATTGGGGAAAAATAAAATATTAAATTAAAATTTTTAATGACAATAGATGGAAGAAATAAAGATTATCTTTAACACAGAGGTCATACTTAGTAGTGTTTAGTAAGCTGTTAAATTTGTAAACAACACAACAAAGCAAATAAGTAGAAAAAGAAGAAATATTACATTTAATAAATTAACATCTACAATTTTACACTAGGACTGATTTTGTTTGGAGAATCTAAAACCGTAAAGGACTAGTCTAATCCCTCTTTCATTTAGCAGCCCCTCAGATAAGTGAACATGGCTATCATGTCTACTCTAAATTTTTTCTTCCAAAAAGCCCCAGTTCCTTCTACCAGTCCTGGTCATCTTCCTCTCATTTTACTCCTGCTTCTCACAGTGCTTTTCCTAAAGAACACTGGGAAAAGGATGGGATCAAGTGTGAAAGGACCTATGCTAAAATTCTGGTTCTTTCACTACTGTTACTTTAGGGTATATGTTGAAACACTTTTGAGTATCTGTTGTTTTTTGAATATGATTAATGATAACATATTGGTGTATACTGTTAATAAAATCAGAATCATATCTCTAGAAGTTAATTATAATATATTTTAGTTATTGTTTCTTGGTACTTGTAAATAACATTATCAATATAAAATTATTATCTAATAATCTTTAAAGTCATATTGTACTTTATAATTTCTTGCTTTTTAAATTGGGGGAAAATTTTTACTTAACTTTTGGTTTGTGTGTGTTTTTAAGGATTGGACCTATCCCATGAGGCGAGAGATGCAGGTATGATGTTAACCCTTATTCCATTTAATTTTTGTGTAGTTTAAAGCTCATAGTTTTGTCATGTAAATGCATTAATTATCTCTTTCCTTAAAATAGATATCTTAAATCAGATGACTAGCAAAATTGAGAGTAAACGATCTTTTATCTAGAATGTAGACCAAAGTGTTACAGCATTGACACCATCTTGATTAATTATTAGAAAATAAGGCTGTTGACATCATCTTGACTACTTATTAGAAAACAGGCTTGAGATTCAGCTACAGATTTTCTTGTCTAATTTGTATGAACTTGAGTAAATCAGTTCTGTAAAATGAGAATAATATATTTATAACCATTTAAAACATTAGATCATATATTAGTTCTAACGGAGTTCTATTGTGCCTAATTTCCCATGGGGAAATACTGAGTTGGAAACTTTTGATATGAAAGGAATTAAGTTATTGATGAGCTTTTTTACATGTTGGGAAGTATGCATTATAAGACATAGTCATTTTCACCTTGCTTTTCCCTTTTTGGTACAAATATTTATGATATTTGATAGAGCTGGACTGCTGTATTACGCTTAGCCAATAGGGACTATCATCTAACACATAACCAGGGTGAAAATTCTTCAGCTTTTGTAGAGTAAACATTTACTTGCTGTATCAAATCTCTGACTTCATAATTTGATGTATTGAGTTTATTTAGAATGGATACCTGTATTTAACAGCAGCTTTTTTTGAGGTTGCCTATTTAGACTCCAGGTACAATTTTTATATCAAATATTAAATTTATGGTGTTTTTGTTAAATATACAGTAGTAACTGTATTCCTGCCATCACAGTGTCTTTTAATGCTTTTGAATTGGCTCAAAAAGGAGTTGATTTTTTCCTCCAGTTTGATTGTAGAATCTAGCAAGGCATGGAGAATAAGAGGCTATGAAGATATGGAGATGGCACTCTTCTAAAAAGTGTTTTTAGTGTTTATTAGTGTTATCTAATGCTTTTACTGTTTAAGTGAGTTCTAAACATAGTTCATAAAGGTAAGGTTTTAAAGTCTGTTTTAATATTTTTAATTTTAGCATATAGCACACATTTTCATTACTTGTATCAGCTGTTGACTGCACTAAATAACAAGAAGCTTTGGAACATATTTTATACTTCCATGAAAATTCTCAAATCAGTGAACAAAATATAAAACAGTGTGATTTAGTAGAAGAGACATTGGCTTGGGAGTCAGGGGCTGAATTTTAATTTTGTCTTTGCTACTGAATTAATAGTGTGACCTTGGGCAAGTCATTTCCTCTCTCGGCCTTTTTGTTTCTTTATCTGTATAATAAAGTGGTTGGCCAGATGATTTCTAAGGTTTTCTTCCTGTTCTATACTTATCTTTGATGAGTATTTGTGGATTTTAGTTGGTAATTGTAATTGATTTTTCTTTTAGGAAATCTTACCTGGATTGTTTTTGGGCCCATATTCTTCAGCTATGAAAAGCAAGGTATGACTTTTTTAGGTTGTGTTCATAGAAATAATTTATTAAACAAATTTTCTGTTGCAGGTTATCTTAATAACAAAAGAAATCTTTTGGGGGTGGGAACTGTAGAGACAGTGCATAGACATGGTATCCCAAAAGTCTTAGTGCACTTTTAAGTTTATAAATCTTTATATAAAGCTGTAAATTAATCTGTATCTAAATTTATGAGGGCAGCTAGGTGGCACAGTGGATAGAACATTGGCCCTAGAGTCAGGAGGACCTGAGTTCAAATGTGACCTCAGATACTTATCATAGTGTGATCTTGGACAAGTCACTTAACCCTGTTTGTCTCAGTTCTTCATCTGTAAAATGAACTCCAGTTCATCCTCCAGATTGAAATGGCACATCACTCCAGTATCTTGCCAAGAAAACCCCAAATGGGGTTATGGGGACATGACTGAAACGACTCAAAAACAGCAACCTAAATGTATTATTTTGCCTTTTTGTTTTATTAATGTTTTATTTAAAAGAACAAATATTTAAGGACTAAATATAAAAATCACTTTAGAAAACTATTCTGTGCTAGGCTGGTATAAAGTTAAATGTTGAACAGGCTGACTTCAGAAAAACCTGGAAAGACTTGTATGGTCTGGTGTTAATTGAAGTGAGCAGAACCAGGAGAACATTGTACCATAGTAATAGCCACATTGTGCAATGACTAATATTGATAGACTTAACCCTTCTCAGCAATGCAAGGATCTAGGACATCTCCAAAGGTCTCATGATGGAAAATGCTATCCACATCCAAAGAAGGAACTAAGGAGTTTGAATGCAGATCGAAGCATGCTATTTGCTATTTTTTTTTTCTTCTGTTGTGTTTTGTTTCCTCTTTCTGGTGGTTCCTCCTATTAGTTCTAATTCTTACTTACAACATCACTAATGTGAAAATATGTGTAATAGGAATGTATATGTATAACCTGTAACCTATAACACTGTCTTGGGGAGGGAGGAGGAGAAAAATTTAAAACTCAAAAGCTTATGAAAGTGATTGTTGATAATTCAAAATAAATTAATTTTAAAAAATTAAAAATTGTATTTTGCCAAATAAAACACATATTTTGATATTCAAAAAAAGTTAAATGTTAAAGTTGAAATTAGCTCCTGATTAATTGAAACAATTTTCTTTTATGCTGATTATTTTTCTTTGGAGATAAAAGAGATGTAATTTTTTAAGTTCCACTTTAATATGCTTAATTTCTACTTCATCATCTTGAAGGCACACAGATAAATATTTGCATAGCTTAAACTTCAGATCTGAAAAAATCTTGATACAAGAATTAGCTTTTAAGCATTCTTTTCACGTTCTCTTGTGCATATTTAGTCAGTTAAATATATTATCACCTTTCCCTTCCTACTTTGGAAAATATCACTGGAGGTGGAGCCAAGATGGTGGAGGGAGAGCAGTGACTGTCTTGAGCTCTCTCCCAAAGCCCTCCAAATACCTAAAAAAATGACTCTAAACAAATTCTAAAGCAGCAGAACCCACAAAAAGACAAAGTGAAACAAATTTCCAGCCAAAGACAGCCTGGATGGTTCATCAGAAAGGTATATCACGCCAGGCGGGGAGAGGAGCACGGGGTGGCGTGGGCGCACAGGCCACAGCAACCCTGGAGCAGGCCCCAGACGACTGAATCGTGGGCAGCTGTGGCAGTTTCCAGACTTTTCAACCCCTGGATGCCAAAGAGGTCAGTGGGAAAAGTCTGTGTCTGCGGTGAGAGAGGAGGTAGGTCTCAGCTGCAAGTCTCAAGCACAGCTTCTGCGGCCGCGGCTATTTCCTGAGCTTCTGGCCCACAGACTGAGGGGGAATCGAGTGGCTGATCACAGGGGGATTGCAGGGATCTCTTTGCCAGTGCTGAGGCAGGAATCTCTTGTTTGCCTGTGCTTGGATCTGGGTCACAGTTCTGAGGGGCAGTCCTGGGGCAAGGAGGAACACTGGTGTGGTGGAGCTTGTTGTGGTGGTCGTGGAGAGAAAACACCTCACCCCTTATCATACCACCTTGGAAGAACTGAAAATTTACAGGTCCCTAGAAGTACCTCTGAAAACAGCTGTACAAACCCCCGAAGCGTGGGACAATACACTCTTCACATTGGAAGCAGACTTTCACCTTAACAAAGAGTTTAAAACTCACGTAATTGGCCGGGATCATGAGTAAGCAGCGCAAAAAGAATCAGACTATATTACCTTACTTTGGTGACAAAGAAGATCAAAACATATAACCAGAAGAAGAAAACAAAGCCAAAGCTCCTACATCCAAAGCCTCCAAGAAAAATATGAATCAGTCCCAGGCCTTGGAAGAGCTCAAAAGGGATTTTGAGAAGCAAGTAAGAGAAGTAGAGGAAAAACTGAGAGTGATGCAAGAAAATCATGAAAAACAAGTCAACAGCTTGCTAAAGGAGACCCAAAAAAATACTGAAGAAAATAACACCTTAAAAAATAGCCTAACCCAAATGGCAAAAGAGATCCAAAAAGCCAATGAGGAGAAGAATTCCCTAAAAAGCAAAATTGGCCAAATGGAAAAGGAAGTCCAAAAGATTACTGAAGAAAATACTTCCTTAAAAATTAGAATAGAGCAATTGGAAGCTAGTGATTGTATGAGAAATCAAGACACTGTAAAACAAATCCAAAAGAATGAAAAATTAGAAAACAATGTGAAATATCTCATTGGAAAAACAACTGACCTGGAAAATAGATCCAGGAGAGAGAATTTAAAAATTACTGGACTATCTGAAAGCCATGATCAAAAGAAGAGCCTAGACATCATCTTTCAAGAAATTATCCAGGAAAACTGCCCTGATATTTTAGAACCAGAGGGCAAAATAGAAATGGAAAGAATCTACCGATCTCCTCCTGAAAGAGATCCCCAAAGGAAAACTCCTAGGAATATTGTAGCCAAATTCCAGAGTTCCCAGGTCAAGGAGAAAATATTACAAGCAGCCAGAAAGAAACAATTCAAGTATTGTGGAAACACAATCAGGCTAACACAAGATTTAGCTGCTTCTACATTAAGGGACCGCAGAGCATGGAATATAATATTCCGGAGAGCAAAGGAGATAGGATTACAACCAAAAATCACCTACCCAGCAAAACTGAGTATAATCCTGCTGGGGAAAAAATGGTCATTCAGTGAAATAGAGGACTTTCAAGCATTCTTAATGAAAAGACCGGAGTTGAATAGAAAATTTGATTTTCAAATACAAGACTCGAGTGGAACGTGAAGAGGTAAACAGGAAAGAGAAAATCATAAGAGACTTACTAAGGTTGAACTGTTTAAGTTCCTGCATGGAAAGATGATATTTGTAACTCATGAGACCTTTGTCAGTGTTAGGGTAGTTGGAGGGGAAAAAATTTTATGTACTTATATATAGATATAGATAGATAGAGGGCACAGGGTGAGTTGAAGATGAAGGGGTCATATCTGGAGAATAAAATTAAGGGGTGAGAGAGGAATATACTAGGAGAAGGAGAAAGGGAGAGGTAGAATGCTGTAAATTATCCCACAAAAAAAAAAAAAAAAGAAAAGGCTCTTACAGTGGAGGGGAAACGGGGGAAGGTGAGAGGGAGTAAGTGAATATTATTCTCATAGGATTTGACTTAAGGAGGGTATAACATACACACTCAATTGGGTGTGGAAATCTATCTTACCCTACAGGAAAATGGGGGGGAAGGGGACAAGAGAGTAGGGGAATGATAGAGAGGAGGGCAGATTGGGAAAGGGAGTAATCAGAAGGAAATACTTCTGAGGAGGGGCAGGGTCAAAATAAAGAATAGAATAAATGGGTGGTTGGGATAGGATTAAGGGAAATAGAGTTAGTTTTTCACAGCATGTCTACTATGGAAGTGTTTTACGTAACTGCACATATATAACCTATATTTAGTTGCTTGCCTTATCAATAAGGGTGGGTGGGGAGGGAGAAAGGGAGAAAATTTGGAACCCAAAGTTTTAAAAACACATGTTTAAAAAAAATGTTTTCACATGCACCTGAGAAATAAGGAATACAGGAATGGGGTACAGAAAAAAAATTTTTTAATTTTTAAAAATTATAAAAAATTTTAAAAAATTTTAAAAAAATTTTAAAAAAAAATATCACTGAAACCACTGTTGGAATACTATGGATTATAAATAAAATAAGTAAGGTTAGAGACCCAAAGTGAATGAGTGTACTTGTGTGATTACAGAAATAGAAGTATAGAATCCCATTTTAATATATACCATTTCTGTAGAGTAGGGGTTAGAGACTGATCTTGTGATTTTATTAGTAGACAACACCCTCGATAAAGAAATTTCCTCAACTAGTACAGGTCAGCACTTTCTCTGCAGGTTTTAGTCTTAGAGTTGACCAGAGTACTGAAAGATTAAGTGACTCAAATACATTAAGCAATTATTTATTTAACATGCAGGACATTGTATTAGCTTCTCAGGATAGAGATTAGATGAAACATGGTCAGTGCACTCAAGTCATACTCAGTGTAGTCTGGTAAGGTTGAAAAACATGACTGTAACACAAAATATTACAGAAGTGCTTTATAAGGTTACAGAAGTCTGAGGGAGCATTGATTTAGAGATGAAAGAAATCTCAGAGGCCATCTGAGGCAAACTGCTCATTTGCAGTTAAGGAAATTGAAGTCCAGGCAAACTAGTAACTTTAAAAAGGTCACACATGTAATAAAGATCAAAGTAGATTTTGAACCCAGGTCCTCTGACTCCAGAGCTAGTCCTCTTTCAGCTCTGTTGGGGGAAGACCTTAATCATCTAGGGTGATGGAAGAGAAACTTTTTGAGGGAGAGATACCATTTGAGTTGGCCTTTAAAGAATGGTTAGGAATTCAGTAGTTAAGCCCCAGAACCATGCAGCATGTGGGACATTTCCAACTGGATGTCACATAGAAATCCTAAAATAAAAACAGAACTCATGATGTTTCCCAACCTGTCTCCAAACCTCCCTCTGCTTCTTACTCCCCCTTCCCCCCCACCCCTATCTTCCAATTCATTTATCATTACCCTCGAAGTCTAGGTGTTACTACCACTATGCTCTTCTGGTTCTCTTCCTACCTGTCTGATTGCTCCTCCTTAGTCTCTTACTGGCTCAACATTGATACCCCTAACTGTGTGGGTGTTCCCCAGATTTCTGTCCTACTTCCTCTTTTATTTTCTCTCTACATTATTCTCTCTTGGTAATCTGATCAGATCCCATGAGTTTAAACTTGTTTCTTTGCAGATATATGTATCCAGCCCTCCCCTAAGCTTCAGTCCCCACATCACCAGTTGCCTATCAAACATTTCAAATTAGTGTCCCAGAGATATTTCAGAGTCAATATGCCCCAATCTTTCCCCCAAAACACTCCCTCTTTTCTATTTCTATCAAAAATACCACCATCCTTCTAGGTTATTAGTCTGCCATTATCCTGGACTCCTTATTCTCTGTTACGACATTTATGCTATCAGTTGCCACTTCTTGTTTCTTCTTTCACAGTAGCTCTTGAATCTGAACTCTTTTGTCCACTCATTCAGCTGCTCACTTATTTTAGGCTTTCATTTCCTCTCATTCTCCCTGCCTTAATACTATTCCTTGCTCCAGTCCATCCTGTATACTGCCAAAATAATTTTCCTCAAGCACAAATCTGACTGTCTCCTCTAATGCCAGTGACTTTCTGTTGCATCGAGGATAATATTAAATTTCTCTTCTTAGCTTTTAAAGCTAAACCGTAGTCTAGACCCAACCTGTCTTTCTAGCTTTTAAGCCCCTCAAAAACACTATTTTTCTATTTTTTAGTATCCCCAGGAGTTAGCACAATGCCTTGCACATAAGTGCTTAATAAATACTTGTTGACTGACTACACTTGTGTTCCTCACCCCTTGGCCCTCCATCTCCTTTCATTATGCTTTTGCACTTCTCATCTCACATTCCTGGAATGTACTTCCTCTTTATCCCCATTTCAAAGAATCCTTTTCTTCTTTTAAGACACACAGTTCAAGCACCATTTTCTCCATGAACCTTTTCCTGATCCCCTCAATTGCTAGGGCCCTCCCTATCACCTTACTTTGTATGTAACTACTTTGTATATTTGTATTCATTTTACATTTATGCTGTAGACAGCATATTCATGTATGTAGTTGTCTTCTGCATTGTTCTCTGAGAGTTAAAATTATTTCCTTCCTTTTTTTGTAATCCTAGGGCCTAGCATATAGTAGACTCTTAATAAATTCTCCCAGCGTCCAGTCTTTCTCTTTCTAATCCTTCTTCCATGAAAATACCTTTCAGACTTATTTCGAAGTACTTCTGTTCATACACCATATTCTATCCAAACTGACCCTGAACTTGGCATAAAATGAGAAATATATTCCCATGGGAAAATTCCCTCAATATGTTGTATTGAAAACTTTTTGATGGGGAATTATAATGTTAGCCAGCCATTTGATATGCAGAACATTATAGGATTTAAAATCTAACATTGTCTATTTGTTATTGTTGAGTCATTTCAGTTGTGTTCAACTCTTTATGACACCAATTGGGGTTTTCTTGGTACTTCTCCAGCTCATTTTATACTTGAGGAAACTGAGGCAAATAGGATTAAGTGACTTGCCCATGGTCATACAGCTAGTAAGTGTCTGACGCCAGATTTAAACTCAGGAAGATGTTCCTGACTCCAGGCCTCGCACTGTATCCATTGCACCGCCTAGCTGCCCTTTAACATTGTCTCTTCTTTTAGTGGGTATTATCAGTACTGTCATCTAATAGACATCACTAGACTAGGAGTTCTCAGCTTATGTAGCAAAGATATTTATAGGCCTTATCTAATTTGGTACTAAATTAAATATTAAATATCCCTAAGCATTCTTTTTTTTTCTTCTTAAATTTATTCTATGAATTTAAACACCAATAACTGTGAAGAACAGATAAAAGGATTATGTATAAAACTGTTAACTGCTGTTAACGTGTACTTTTTTTAAAGGGTATGTTAACTTTAACATAATAGTTAGAAAACAATTCTTGTTTAGGTTGCCTTCTAAACTTCTACTCTCTTCTGGGTATTTTAAAAATGTTTTATTGATGCTGTTTGCTTTCTTTTCTTTTTTTATATCCCTGTAATAGAAGCCCTTCCTAAATTATACATATTAGTTAATAAGTATAGTTAAGCAACACAAATCAACACGTTGGCTATATTGTAAATTTATATCTTTTTACACCTCTGTTCCATAATCACTCTGACAGGAAGTCAGAAACATGCTTTTTATCATTAGACTTCTTAAGTCCTCTTTGCTCATTCTATTGCTCAGTGCTTTGAAGACTTACAGTTTTTGTGGCCGTAATATATCATCTTATGTTATTCTACTCACTCAACTCTAACACATTTGATGCATCCATATTCATCCCTCTCTTTCCTCAAGGTTGAGTTTATGTACTACTTCCCACAAGTTTTTCCTTATCCATCTATTTGTTAGTACTCTCTCCCTACTCAAACTACATTACATTTATCTGTTTAGATATTATGTCCTAGAAGGGAGAGGTTTTTTTTTATATCCGTTACCTTGCGTAGGGCTTTGTTCATAGCATGTACAGTTATCTCTTCTGCATTGTGACTTTCCCCATGGAGGTTTTGATATATCATGCATCAGCATAAGAATTTAAATGGAAATTTTGGGGGAGTTTTGCAGAACCTGCAGATGACGTGTGAAGGCCAGCATACAACATAAAAAGTTTAGAAAGTTAGAAATGCATAAAACGTGTGTATAATATCAACATATTTTATCCTTTAAAACTGCAATAATTCAGACTTCTTCTCTGGTACTGAGGGAAGGTCAAAAAATTTTATGCAGATTTTCTAGATCACAGGGGTACTGCACCCCTAATGCCTGCAATGTGGAAGGGATAACTGTAATAAATTTCTATAAATACTAGATGAGTTAGAAGCTACCAGATGATCTACAGGGATAGAATAAACTTGCCATCTTGGTATCCCTAGGTTTCTGTCTTTCCAACCCCATTGGTTTCTTTTGTCTTGCCTCAGGTACAAAAATTACTAGTTATGATTCTGAAAAAAAATACAAGGGTGGCAATTTGGTGTAGTGGATAAGAATACTGGGCCAGGATCCAGGAAGACCTAAGTTCAAATTCAACCTCAGATACTTACTAGCTTTATGACCTTGGAAAAAATCACTTAATTTTTGTTTCTTTCAGTTTTCTCAGCGATAGAATGGGGATAATAATATATCTACCAGGATTACTGTGAGGATAAAATACTCAAGTTACTATGAGGATAAAAATGAGACCATATTTATAAAGTGCTTAGCATAGTGCCTTGCACGTAAGTGCTGTATAAATCCTAGCGATGGTGATGATGATGATGATGATGATGTTTTGTTGATGTTGTCATTGACGTCATCTATCTGACAACTCTGGAAAATTGATGTAAAAGTTAATGTGCAATTTTGTGTTTCACTGGTGACCAACAGTCAGCTCTGTTAATTGCTTGTACATCATTCAATTAGGTATTAAATGTAGCCTATTATAAATCCTAGTCTGATTATCTCTCTTTCCCCCTCTTCCCACCTTTGTGTTCAGGGAATGTGAATTAATTCAGATTGTAGTCAGTTAATGATATGCAAGGAGGAACAAGAGAGAAGAGCCAGTTCTTGACAAATGGTCTCAATTTTTTTTTTTTTTTTTTTTGTTAGCAAAATAAGTGACAGAGTTCTCAACTGAGGGTGGAAGACAGGAAAGGCTATGGGAGATTTGAGGAGGGATGAAAAGATTGGGAAAAGCCATTGTGGTGTGACTGAGTTTGTAAAATAAGGTCTCCTCAGCTCAGAAATTTTGTTTTATGTACTTATTGCATGTCTGTTATGGCTGTAGCACTGTGTAAAATATATTTTAATTGTCTGGAAATTCATTGTATTAGTTCTCATGTAATTCTATACTATGTTACTATGATCACCATTACTGGTTTCTCTGTTGTGAATGAATGAAAAAGTATTTATTAAATGTTTGCTATATGCAAAGCACTTTGCTAAACACAGGGGATACAAATAGAAAAGGAAGTCAGCCCCAACTTTAAGGATCTCACTTCTGATGATGGAAGACAATGCATATAGGAGTTTTTATTGCAAGTCAGATGGAAAAGTCCAGTTGTCCTTAGCATTCAACAGCAAAGCAAATCATAATCTGTATTCTTCAATGTCATTCCCATTGATAGAACCATATCTGTTTCTAATGTCGAACTATTTGACAGTGCCAAGGACTTTGATGGTGAGATTTTCTTTTCAACATCCTTCAGTAGCTCTGGCTGCTGATGAGCTTGGGGCTGCAGCATTTAATGAGGAACAGGTTGCTTCCCTGGACATTTTCAGCAGGGATTGGACTAGAAGCAGGGATGCATTGGTCTGAAGGAGCATTGCTATTCCAGGAACTTTTGGATTTGGCAGCTTGTTAGTGACAGTTAGTGTTGGTACACAGCAAATCTCTCTCTAAGCACCCTGAAGGCCAGTGCACTCTCCCCCAACAAATATATAGAACATGAGAATTTCATAATCTGAGGATTATAATGTTTTTAAAATGTATGTTTAAGAAGACATTTCGTATTTTAAACTTCTATACTTTTTTTTACAGCTACCTATACTACAGAAACATGGAATAACCCATGTAATATGTATAAGACAAAACATTGAAGCAAACTTTATTAAACCAAACTTTCAACAATTATTTAGGTAAGAAATGTGTGTAGGTGTAATTTGGGGTTGGGGAGAGTTGGGAAATGGGTTTCAACATATTACATACTAGGCATCAGAAAATCTAATAAAAGCTTGTTGTTAGTGTGAAGCTTTATTGAATGGTCTTCTCTTTCGTTTCATAGAAAAATGATTTGTTCCAGGTGATTTTAAAATCACACTTGGTTTTGCCAAAGTTTACAATAAATTAATTAAGAGTGTCTTCTTAACCTAAATCATTTATTTTCTGAAACAGCACTTTGTCAAACACTACTTACTTAAAGATAACGTTACCAAAACCATTGTTACCAAACCCTTGAAACACAGAATACCTTACTTTAGCACCCTTGGATTTAAGGCCAATCATCACCTAAATAAATTGCCAGATTTTCTTACGGACAGCTTTATATTCCAGCAAAGAGCAATAATGCATTTAAAAATATTGCCCTTGAGAGGTCATTTCAATATCTCATTATTTCATAGACTAGCTGCCCTAGAATTTAAGTATAAGGTCACTAAATATATTTAGTATAACAGTGATATCTTACATTTTACAATGACTTTATTTTTTTTTATAGTCCCTTTGCATCTTATTTGGCAAATTAAAAAAATTTTTTTATTTTTAGTGATGTCTTTTTTAACAATACATTTATTTCCTATGCTACCCAAAGACCCATCTCTTCTAACAGATTAAAAAAGAGGAAAACAGCAAAACTGACCAATACTTCTACTATGTCTGACATTCTGCACCCTTAGTCTCCCATCTCTGAAATAAGAGGAGGGAGGTTTGGCAAATTTTCATTATACCAGTAGGTGATCTCCTAGGTAGGATTCATTTCATGGTAAATTACTCCTATTCATTTTATATACATTTTTCTGGGCCATGATTGACTTCCCACTCAAAATAGAGTACAAACACTCTTCTTCCAGTCGCCCTGAGACCCTTGAATGTGAATACAATGTTCTCAAACTGAACCTTGCCTTCCTACCTCTCGAGGAGTACTTTTTATTCTCAGTGTCATGAACCTATCTTCTCTGCCCTCTAGAACCTTGGTTTTCAAATTTATTTTGGTAACAGAAAAGGAATCAAGGTATGCTGAACTTTTAAGATGGCAATGGAAAATGATTCCAAAGTAGTGGAGCAGCCAGACTCATTACGTAGGCCTTGAGATTCCTCTGTCTTTCTTTCTCTCGTTTCCTCTTTTGCTTTTTTCTTTAGAACGTGTGGATAGAAAACCAAGCTGGAAAGAACAGGTATCAAACTGTAGCTGAAGGTGAGAGTTGAGTATTTTAAGGCACACTTAGTGAAACTGGAGGTACAACCTTTGAGAACCACTTCTTAGTTTGTCCTAGGAGAGAAGTAAAAACACTTAGAAGGGGTTGGGAGCTACTGGGAGAGTCTGGGCATCCTGGGAGGCAAAAACAACCAACAAGTGAAAAACAGATAAGAATGACCTATTTCTGTTTCTGGCTCTAGGATGATCTAGTAATTTTCTGACTCTAAGAAATAGTTGAGTAGTTTAAAATGTATTTAAATGTTTAAAAATCTGAAGATTATTGGCCTTAGCATTTTTCTGCAGTGATTGCTTGCAACATGACATTTTTTCCAAATATATTCCTGTTCATGTCGTGGAAATAGTTAATGTCCCATTTTTGTGTGTGTCAAGAAAATGTAGTCTTCTTTGCATATTATTTTAGCATTTTAGGTATAACTCAGGAGATATAGAAATGAAAATTGTGTGGTCTAGAAATATTTTAAAATAATAACTTTTAAATCATCTTTCAATATTTTTAAATTTTAATTTATATTTTTTTCAGTTAACAAGTCTTCATTTTTTTCCTTGTCAACTCTTCCCTTCATTACATTTAAAAGGAAACACGCTTTGTAACAAATATACATAGTCAAACTAAACTAACTTCCACATTGGCCATGTCCAAAAAACCATAAGTCTCAGTCTGTACTCTGAGTTTATCACCTCTTTGTCAGGAGATGGGTAGTAAGTATATGGGTCCTCTAGAATTGTGGCTGGTGATTACATTGATCTCAATTTTAAGTTTTTCAAAGTTGTTTATCTTTATAGCTGGATAAGTTATTCTTGGTTATAAGCCTATATCTTTTGTCTTTGGGAATATCATATTCCAAGCTTTCTGATCCTTTACAGTGGGTGATTGTTAAATCTTATATGATTCTAACCTGACTCCTTGATACCTGATTTCTTTTTTTCTGTTTGCAAAGTTTTTTCTTTAACCTAGAAGTTATGGATTTGGCTATGATATTCCTGGGAATTTTCATTTTAGTGTTTCTTTCAGGAGGTACTGACTGGTAGATTCTTTCAGTTTTCACTTTGCTCTTTGGTTATAAGATACCAGGGCAGTTTTCTTTCATGCTTTCTTGAAATAAGGTAACTAGGATTTTTGTTTTTTGTTTTTTTTGTCATAGTCTCCGAGTAGTTTGGTTATTCTTAAATAGTCCTTCATCAATCTGTTTTCCAGATCAGTTGTTTTTATACAAGATACCTTATGTTTCCTTTTTTTTAAAATATTTTTACTTTATTTCATTATTTCTTGTTCTTAAAAAGTCTTCACTTTTAAAAACTTGATTCATCTTTTTTTTTGTAAATTGTATTTTATTTTTTCCCAATTACATGTAAAAGGTAGTTTTTAACATTCATTTTTTTATAAGATTTTGAGATCTAAATTTTTTTCCTTCCCTCCCCTCCTCTCCTACCTCCCCAAGACAGCAAGAAATCTGATATAGGTTAAATGTGTTCTTACTTCATCTCTTCGCAGAGTTCTAGTTGAAATTGTGCCCAAGCTGTATTTTTATTTCAGACTTTGAAGATATTTTGAAGTCACATCCCTAGTACCATAATAGCTCTTTCTTTTTTCTTTTTTTGGGGGGAGGGGAGCTTTTTTTTTTTTTTTTTTTTTTTTTGGGTAAGGGAATTAGAGTTAAGTGACCTGCCCAGGGTCACACAGCTAGTAAGTGTCAAGTGTCTGAGGCCAGATTTGAGCTCAGGTCCTCCTGACTACAAGGCTGGAGCTCTAACCAGTGCACCACCTAGCTGCCCCCATAATAGCTCTTTATGATGGAATTCTTTTTTTTACCCGTTCTTCCAGTTTTGATTTCCAAATTCAGGCTTTATGTTAGGGACTGGCACTACACACTTCTGGAGAGAACGTCTGGACCTTTCTAGGCCCTCTTTTATAAACTCTTAGGTTCTGCTGCTTTCTTCAGATATTGAGTGCTGTGTTCTTCAAGGATCTTGAGGGCTGCTCAGGCCAGCTTTCATTGTTCTCAGAGTAATCTGATCCAGGACAAAATCTGATCACTACTTTTCTGACCTGAGTTTTGCAAACTGACTTGTGTTTGGACCTGAGCAATAAAAATGTGGATTTGCCCCTTGTTGGAGCTCCAGTAGACTGCTGCTGTCAGTGGTTCCAACCATTTTAAGCTAGCTGGAAGACTGTAGAATTTCAGAGAGACAGAATTGCAGGTTACTCCTTGATCCGAGCTCCTGGCTGTGGTTATTCGGTTGTTTCGGGTTTCAGACTAGTCTAGGTTTTGAGACCTTACTTTGCTCCTGAGGTCAGAGTCTGAGCTACCACTTGCTTCTTGCCCTGATGTCTAAGACTGTTCCCCGAAAATGCCACCCTCAGTCTTCATTTATCTCTGGAGTTAAGCAGCAGTGGTGCACTGTTCCCTGAACTGCATCATACCTCCCCTCCCTGCTGGACTATTTCTTGCCCTAAAACATAGTCCTAGGTTCTGGTTCAGTTTCTGTTCTAGAAGGCTCTGATGAGTGTTCTTCTGGCTAGACCCCTTCTCCAGTGTCCTCATATCTTTTTTCTGTCTGCCTGTGGTGACCTAGGCTGGAAAAATTATCCACTATGATTTTTTTTTTTTAAATCTCCAGTCAAGAATTGGTCTGGTGCGTATTTTAGGATTTTGCAAAATAGTTATGACAGAGAACTGAGCTTCTACTCTTCCAACTTGGGAGGTGTCCTGTCAGTGAACATTTATTAAGAGCACTAAGAACTATGTTGTGACCTGTGGATACAAAATAAAGAGCAACAAATACCAAGTTTTATTAGGATGTTCCTTTTAAGAAGTTGTATGTTTTTTAAAAAAATCATTAGTAGGAAAGGGGGAGGGAGAAAAATTTGGAATTCAAAAATCTTTTTAAAAATTAATGCTGGAGGGCAGCTAGGTGGTGTAGTAGATAGAGCACTGACCCTGGAGTCAGGAGGACCTGAGTTCAAATCCGGCCTCAGACACTTGACACTTACTAGCTGTGTGACCCTGGGCAAGTCACTTAACCCAGATCGCGTCATCAAATAAATAAATAAATATTAATGCTAAAAATTGTCTTGATGTATTGGGAGAAAAATACTATTTTAAAAAATCATTAGGCTAAGACTGAGACCAAGGAGAAATGTATTTTTCAATGTTGTCTTTTAACTTGACTAAGATATTTAACCTCCATGTGTCATTTGATTCTTCTGTAAATTGGGAATGATGTTATTTATCATAGTCCTGTACATGTTAAAAGAATACTTTGAGAATATTTATGAAGCAATATGAGGTGTATTATGAATACTGAATATTAATTCTATTCTCCTAAATTTTGCATTCTTTTAATATATTTTATAGTTAAGGTCTAAGAAATGTTCATTATTAGCTGTTTTTTGTTACTCTGCATAAAGATAATTTAATTCTAAATTGCTTATTTTACTTTCAGGTATTTGGTACTGGATATTGCCGATAATCCAGTTGAAAATATAATACGTTTTTTCCCAGTGGTATGTATCACAATTGAGCCTTACTGTAACTTAGTTTTGAATGGAACTCTACAGTTTATCTAAGAAAATAATCTGCCTTTCTAGAAAACTCCAGTAACAATAATTCATATTTCTGTAGTGTTTTTAAGGGTTATAGTACCTTTTTCAAACTTTCCTTGAATGTTTAAATTACACACTGGTTATTAAATTTTATTGGTGCATATATGAGCATTATATAGAAACCAATTTATACTCACTTTTTAAGGATGGCCTACTCAAGAAAACCAAAGGTATACTGTGGTTTTCCCTTTTTGATTTTTAGATGGATTAATCAATCAACAAGCAATATCAAACTCCTACTCTGTGCCATGGATTATGCTAGGTACTGAGGCTACCAAAAAAACAATAAATATTACTTGCTCTTTCACATTGGACCTGTGAACTCATTGATGTCGATATTCCCTCCCCTAGTACAGAGGTAGCTCCAGTTTAACTAGAATATTATTGGTTGTGGGAAATCCTTGATTATGTTGCCAGTTGCTGAGTAACTTTCTTTGTCAATCACATTGACTTTGAAAAGTTTGATTCTCTTTATGGGAATTATAACATAGCCATATATTAACAATATGTGGGCTAACTGGTAGTACAGTGTGATTGTTTTCAGAATTGGTTTAATATGACAACTCTGGAAGGAAGTGTCTTGAGGTGTGCCCCAAGGATCTATACTAGGCATTGTAGTTTTAACATTATTATCTGTGAATTGAATAAGATCACAGGTGATGTGCTTATCAAAAATGCAGATGACACAAAGCAGTAGGTCTCAAAAGATCCCAAAAGGTTAGACAATATATTTATAATTAAGTACATAAAAGACTTACCTCTACTTCCTTTCCTCTCACTCTCTTCTTAATTTTCTGAATTCTGACTTCCAGCCTCATTTTTCAACTGAAACTGATCTCTCCAAAATTGCTAATAATTTTAATTGCTAATCCTAATGACCTTTTCTTAATCCTCATACTTCTTGACCTTTCTACAACTTTTGACACAAACTGTCTTCTCCACTAGAATGTAAGTTCCTTGAGGGCAGAGATTATTTTTATTTTTCTTTGTCTTCCCAGTACTTAGCACATTGCATGCATAGTTAGCATTTAATAAATGCTTGTTATTTGATTGGCTTATTGAGGTAGTCACAGAACCAAGCATATTTAAGAGTTGAATATCTTGGAACCAAGATGGCGGAGGGAAAGCAGTGACTTGCTAGAGCTGTCCCCCAAACCCCTCCAAATACCTGCAAAAAATGACTCTAAACAAATTCTAAAGCAACAGAACCCACAAAAAGACAGAGTGAAACAAATTTCCTGCCCAAGACAACCTGGATGGCTGATTGGAAACGTATATCGCGCCGGGTGGGGAGAGGAGCGGCAGTTTGGCACGGTCGTGCAGGCCACAGCGACCCTGGAGTAGGCCTCAGAGAACTGAATTGCGGGCAGCTGTGGCAGTTTCCAGACTTCTCAACCCACAAATACAAAAGACAACTTAGAAGGTTAGTGGGAAAAGTCTGTGACTGTGGTGAGAGAAGAAGCTAGATCTCAGCCACCCCAAGGGCAACGGCTGCCTTCTGAGTTTCTGGCCCACAGACTGAGGGGGAATCAAGTGTCTGATCAGAGGCAGATTGCAAGGATCTCTTTGCCAGAGCTGAGGCAGGAATCTCTTGCTTTGCCTAGGCTTGGATCTGGGTCACAGTTCTGAGGGGCAGTCCTGGGGCAAGGAGGAACACTGGCATGGTGGAGCTTGTTGTGGTGGTGGTGGAGAGAAAACACTTCACCCCTTATCTTAGCACCTTGGAAGAACTGACACTTTTCAGGTCCCTAGAAGTATCTCTGAAAACAGCTGTACAAACCCCCGAAGCTTGGGACAGGACATTCTCCACATTGGAAACAGACTCTTGCCTTAACAAAGAGTTTAAAACAAGTAATTGGTTGGGATCATGAGCAAGCAGCACAAAAAGAGTCAGACTATATTATCTTACTTTGATAACAAAGATGAAAACATACAACCAGAAGAAGAAAACAAAGTCAAAGCTCCTACATCCAAAACTTCCAAGAAAAATATGAATCAGCCCCAGGCCTTGGAAGAGCTCAAAAGGGATTTTGAGAAGCAAGTAAGAGAAGTAGAGGAAAAACTGGTAAGAGAAATGAGAGTGATGCGAGAAAAATGTGAAAAGCAAGTTAACAGCTTGCTAAAGGAGACCCAAAAAAATACTGAAGAAAATAACACCTTAAAAAATAGCCTAACCCAAATGGCAAAAGAGGTCCAAAAAGCCAGTGAAGAAAAGAATGCCCTAAAGAGCAAAATTGGCCAAATGGAAAAGGAAGTCCAGAAGATTACTGAAGAAAATACTTCCTTAAAAATTAGAATAGAGCAATTGGAAGCTAGTGACTTTATGAGAAATCAAGACACTGTAAAACAAATCCAAAAGAATGAAAAATTAGAAAACAATGTGAAATATCTCATTGGAAAAACAACTGACCTGGAAAATAGATCCAGGAGAGAGAATTTAAAAATTACTGGACTATCTGAAAGCCATGATCAAAAGAAGAGCCTAGACATCATCTTTCAAGAAATTATCCAGGAAAACTGCCCTGATATTTTAGAACCAGAGGGCAAAATAGAAATGGAAAGAATCTACCGATCTCCTCCTGAAAGAGATCCCCAAAGGAAAACTCCTAGGAATATTGTAGCCAAATTCCAGAGTTCCCAGGTCAGGGAGAAAGTATTGCAAGCTGCCAGAAAGAAACAATTCAAGTATTGTGGAAACACAATCACGCTAACACAAGATTTAGCTGCTTTTACATTAAGGGACCGCAGGACATGGAATATGATATTCCAGAGGGCAAAGGAGATAGGATTACAGCCAAGAATCACCTACCCAGCAAAACTGAGTATAATTCTTCAGGGGAAAAAATGGTCATTCAGTGAAATAGAGGACTTTCAAGCATTCTTGATGAAAAGACCAGAGCTGAATAGAAAATTTGACTTTCCAATACAAGACTCAAGTGGAACATGAAGAGGTAAACAGGAAAGAGAAATCATAAGAGACTTATTAAGGTTGAACTGTTCACACTCCTGCATGGAAAGATGGTATTTGTAACTCATGAGACCTTTGTCAGTATTACGGTAGTTGGAGGGAAAAAATTATGTGTATGTATATATATACATAGATAGATGGATAGATAGAGGGCACAGGGTGAGTTGAAGATGAAGGGGTCATATCTGGAGAATAAAATTAAGGGGTGAGAGAGGATTATACTAGGAGAAGAAGAAAGGGAAAGGTAGAACAGGGTAAATTATCTCACAAAAAAAAAACAGAAAAGAAAAGGCTCTTACAGTGGAGGGGAACTGGGGAAAGGTGAGAGGAAATGAGTGAATCTTATTCTCGTAGGATTTGACTTAAGGAGGGTATAACATACACACTCAATTGGGTATGGAAATCTGTCTTACCCTACAGGAAAATGGGAGGGGAAGGGGACAAGAGAGTAGGGGGATGATAGAGAGGAGGGCAGATTGGGAAAGTGGGTAATCAGAAGCAAATACTTCTGAGGAGGGACAGGGTCAAAATAAAGAATAGAATAAATGGTGGGGCGGGATAGGAATAAGAGAAATAGAGTTAGTTTTTCACAGCATGTCTACTATGGAAATGTTTTGCATAACTGCACATATATAGCCTATATTGAGTTGATTGCCTTTTCAATGAGGGTGGGTGGGGAGGGAGAAAGGGAGAAAATTTGGAACCCAAAGTTTTAAAAACACATGTTTAAAAAAAATGTTTTCATATGCAACTGGGAAATAAGGAATACAGGAAATGGGGTACAGAAATCTAATCTGCCGTACAGGAAAATAGAAGGGGAAGGGGGGGAGAGATGGAAGGGAAGGCAGACTAGGGGAAGGGGTATTCAGAATGCATGCCATCTTGGGATGGGGGGAGGGGCGAGATGGGATGAAAATTTGGAACTCAATATCTTGTAGAAGTAAATGTTGAAAACTAAAAATAAAAAAAAAGTTGAATATCTTTAACATTACAGCAAACTTCAGTAATGTCCATAGGTTTATTTTGTTTTGTTAGTATTTTCCCAGAGACTGGGAGCTTTTCATTTTATAATTTGTTTCTATAGTTCTAACAGGGCTAGTTATGTCTCAGACTATCATTGTACCTCAGTAAAAGCACATTAAATATTAGGACACTTCTGCAGTATTATATATATGGACAGTCATTTTAGATCTCAGCCTCTTAAGAGCATCACTGTGCCCGTAGGCATATCACTGACAGGATAACTTTTTCCTAATGCCAGACAATGGCATTCAGTTCACCCTGAAAAGGCATCTAGGAATATTTTTAACATCTTTCTGACTGCCACCTGTTACCTCATTGATTCAGCCTGTTGGACACAGGGGTATTGTTTGAGTTTTCTTGAGGAAACTGGTTCAGCATTTAGGTAGAGCTTTGAAATGCTGTAACATTAAAGATATAGTTTTTAATGTTCTTTGTTCTAAACATTATAGAGGGCTTGGAAAAACTAGCTTAGTTTTCAGAAGTGTTATCATCTGACTTCATATAAAGGCACCGCAAACCCTGCTCCCAGGAAGGCTAAGACTAGTAGATAGCTTAGTCTTGCAGTGGGCAAAAACTGATTGGGTATCCAAATTAAGTCTAGCACCATTATAGTGAGCCTTTAAAATAGGGGCCCACCAGGCTGTGTAGGAAGGTGTGAACCCAGGTTAGAAATAGAACAGGTCAAAGCTTCCATGCCAATCAGCAGAAATTAGGCCCATGAGTGATTGTTATACTTCCAGTTTGGGTGAGATAGGCCGACCTGGTTTAAAAGTAAATAAATAAAAATAATGTTGTAATCTAATGACAGTGATGAAACATTCTTAAATGTTGTAGTAAATTCTCCATAGCACCTTAACCCAGATTCTTAAGATGGTCATGTCATGAAGAAATAGTAGATCAGAAACAGAGGAGTGGGTACGATCTGACAAGGAAGTTCTTTAACACCATTTTGTGTTAGTGCTATAGAAATCATACATGTTTTGAATGGTATTCATGAATCAGAGGACATTAGTAGCATTGGTGATACTAACTTTTGGAGAGTGGGAAAACCTTTTGAAAGAAGTGTGCAACCTTTGATTCACTCATTTATATCAGCTATGTTATACTTCCTAGGAAGTCATGCCCTCTTACGTGTTTGACTGTATGAAAAAGAGACAAATGAACACAAGCAAATTGTCATCAAGAGCCTGAGAGAACTTCTGCTGGGGCCATAGCTATTCAGCTCTGTCTGCCACATTATCCACAGTTAAATGCAGCATATCATAGTTTTGTTTTGTTTTGTTTTGTTTTTAAGGCAACTGGGGTTAAGTGACTTGCCCAGGGTCACACAGCTAGTAAGTGTCAAGTGCTTGGTCTGAGGCCAAATTTGAACTCAGGTCCTCCTGACTTCAGGGCCAGTGCTCTATCCACTGCGCCACCTAGCTGCCCCTCATAGTTTTTTTTTTTTTTAATAATGATGACACTGATCCATCCAAAAGCAAATATATTTTGTTTAGTATGATATACAGTACTTAGTACAGTGTCTGGCACATGGTAGGCTCTTAAAAATACTTGTTAATTGACTATACTGTTTAATGAGGAAGCATGGCATAGTGGATAGAATACTGGCTTTGGAGTCAGGAAGATCTCAACTTATGTTCTACCTCTGACATACTGGCTATGAAACTAGGCAAATTGCTTAACCTCTTAAAAAGTTACAAGAAAGTTACAAAAAAGATTTCAATCTTCATTGGTAGAGGGAATTTCATCATACAGGAGTTCCTTATACCCATGATATCAAAGGTCTAGTCCCTTTCCTTATACCATTAAACAAAATAGAACATAGTGTGCACTTAGATTTGCATTTTAAAAACTTAATAAAATACTTAAATGTACCCATGACCTCATTGCTATGTATGCTCCTACTAAGGATACAGATTGCATGCTACTTGATCATATGTGATTCTTATCTATGTTTTCCCATACAGTCCTACCTAACATGCAGGGGGGCCACTTTTACAAGCACAGGGACTCTCCATTGGCTAGCTAGCCCTTGCTCTTGTCGTATGACTAGCCCATCATTTTCACTTGTTCATTTCTTTTATGACATTTTTTTACTGTGGTTATCATACTTCATAAGTCTTTTTTTGGTAATATATAGCAGCCTTTTTACTTACCATGAACTCCTTCATTGTTTTCAGCTGTCAGGAAAATTCATATAACTATAATTATTAATTCCTTAGGAATTCTAGATATATTTGATATTTTTGTTATAAAACTACTTAAAATAGTTTTTTTTTTATGTATAGTCTTTTGGGGACGCTATCATTCTGTAGTTCTTTTGTTGGTAGAATTTAACTTGTCAAGTGAACAAAGTTAGCCTTCATTAGTTACTTAAAAATAGTAAAATGTTTAATATTTGAAAATGAAAAACACCCCCAAATTCTGCAACTTTATTATTTTTAAAATATTTATATCTTTGAACTATTCTCAGTTATATGTGATTTATTTTTTGTAGATCTTAATTGTTTTCTTTTTTTGCAACCTATTTTTTTTTATCTTCAGACTAAAGAATTTATTGATGGAAGTTTACAAACAGGAGGTAAATCTTATTTCCTTTCCTTAATTAATTTTAATTATCAGTGGAGAAGATTCAAAGCATTTTTTTAAACATCTGAATTGCTTGGTTACTGATTTAGAATGTAAGATATAGCAAGTTTATTGTCATTTTTACAAGGATGGAGATTGTTTTAGTGGTGATTATTCTTGTTTTCTGACCTTTTTCAACTGTCTTCATAGAATTTTGTTGATGTGTCCAGCATTATCATGGTTTAATTATAATATTATGCTACTGATTGATTTGATAGAGGAAGTTCCTCTTGGGGGTTCCCTATACCAGTAAAATCACATTTAACATTAAAAAAAGAAAGTCCAAACTCAATATGTAAATTTGTACAAATATCATGGGTTGAAGAGGCTTTCTTAAATAAAATCTTTAAAGAAGTGTGTTTCTTTTTCAGAAGCCTTTTTTAAAGAGAGGGACTATTTCTTTGTGAATTATCTTTATGAAATGATTAATGTATTTTAGTTGATGTCTAACTAGAATACAAAATTCTCATTTTTTAGGAAGAGTTCTTGTCCATGGAAATGCAGGAATTTCCAGAAGGTATGAGGCTACCCTTTGTGTAAAATATTTAATTAATGAGTAATTTTGACTAGTTATCCTAAAAGTATTTTTCTTTTCAGTGCTGCCTTAGTTATTGCATACATCATGGAAACATTTGGAGTGAAATACAGGTAAGAAAGTATTCCACAGCCTAGTCAATTTAGTCTTTGTAGCAAAAAGGAACTTTGGCATAATGTTGACTGGGTCTACATAGTGAGAAAAGTGCTATTATAGTTATTGATCAACTGCTTACATTTAACTGTGTGGTCAATTTTCTTGAAAGGAGTAAGAAAGTTTTAGAACTTTTAATGATGCCATTTAAATTTACATCAAAAAGAGAAGAAAGCATACGGAAGGCTCTTTGTATACCACACTGGTACTGAACAGATAGATTAAAAAAATATTTTGGTGAGCTAATAAATGTTTTACATTTGATACATTTCAAAGGCTAGTTTTCTTTTCCTGTGACTTAGGGTTGAAAAGTGTAGCTTCTATTTAAATATAAATGTAGGTAGCTAATTTTTCTCACCCAAGATAATCTTCCTTATTAAAAAAAATGTATTCTGAACTTGACAAACATGAAATAAAATGAACGTTTCCATTTCCATTGTAGAATAAAAGGAAGGGTTCATTTGTCTATGAAACTGTAAATTTCTACTATGCAGCATTTGCTTTACTTTTTAAGTATAGAATAAATTCAACATATAACTGTTAAAGCCTCCCTGCTTGTCTGTGATTCCTTCTGGCCTTCTGTCTTCTCATATTTTTTTGGAAGCCAATACCCTCATCCAAAAAAAAGAGAGAGAAACCCCTTGTAACAAATATGTATGGTGAAGCAGAATGAATTTACACATTGGCTATGTTGCAAAGTATAAGTATCATTCTGCTCAAGACAAATTTTCAGTCTTCTATCTAGATAGAAATATGATGTGAATATACATGAAAACTGGTCTTAGCAATAATCTTTGGTGTGGGAAGTTTCTTCATAACAGTCCTATAAATTGGTAGTGTAAATTGAATTAACCTTGTTTTATAGATGAGAGAAATAAGGCTCAGAGAGATTAAATAAGTGATGTACTTAGTGTTGACATAGCTAATAATTGTTGCGGCAGGATTTGATTTCAGGTCCTGCTTGATACCATGTCCATTGATTTCTTTATTTCATCACTGTGCAGTGATACTTTATTTTATAAAGCAATATTTCTGAAAGAATTATAAATTCATGACACTTAATGGTACATCTTTTTTTAGCATTTTCTTTTTATTTTTAAGGGAGGCATTTACATATGTTCAAGAAAGAAGGTTCTGTATTAATCCTAATGCCGGGTTTGTCCATCAGCTTCAGGTAACTTCTGTCACTCCTCTTATTCTTCATTTAGGCATTTGCGTAATTAGGTAAGATTGCCAGTGTAATGGTAGCTATAGCTTGAGTGCTGTATTTGATTCTAAGATCTTTTTTTTTTTTTTTTTTTTAGTGAGGCAATCGGGGTTAAGTGACTTGCTCAAGGTCACACTGCTAGTACATATCAAGTGTTTGGTCTGAGGCCGGATTTGAACCCAGGTCCTCCTGACTTCAGGGCACCACCTAGCTGCCCCTCTGATTCTAACATCTTTAAAGTACTATAGTATCTCACTGATTTACTATACCAAATTACTATAGTATCCCTCTTACTCTACTATATATAGATGTAGACTAGGCAATAATGCAGTTAGATAGATTCAGAACAAGTTGATTGGCAGGAATCAAAGAATAGTTACAGATGTCAGCCCTCTGCAAATAGAGATCGATTCCTTTTATGTACATATATACCCATGTTTAGCACAGTGCCTGGCACATAATAAGCATTTACTGAATGCTTTCTTTCTAACTAAATGTCATATATGACACATATGTCACCATAGTAGGTTCTTGTTGATTAAGTAATGTTGATTGATAAATTGATAAATACTTTTTGATTAATGGTTTGATGTCAGGTTGACAAGAGGTTTTCAAGGGGATACCCTAGGGATGTGTGCTAGTTAACATTTTTTATAAAAATTTAACATTTTTATTACTTGGATAAAAACATAGTTGGCATGGTCACCAAATATGACAGATGACAGTAAGCTGAGAAGGACTACAGTGGATACACCAGGATCCAAAGAGATATTAACTGGCTAAAATATTGGGCTAAATTTAATAAAATGAAATCAAAGTAAAATATGGAAACTTACATGTAGGTACAAAAAAATTTCACAACTAGAAGATGAAGTCAGAATTATCAGTTTGTCTGAAAAAGATTTGGGAGCAAGATCAATATGAGTCAGTGTGATGTGGCAGATAAAAGTTAATACAGTCATGGGCTGCATTAAGAGAAGCATAACTTATAAAAAATTAGTAGTTGATAGTCTCTCTTTACTCTGCCCTCACCAGACCTTGTTTGGAGTATAATGTTCAGTTTTAGGTGCCATAGTTAGAGGAGATTGATAATGCCCGGGGGGGGGGGGGGCCCAGGATGGTGAAGAGCCATAAGTCTATGACAAATGAGGGGACAGTTGAAGAAACTGGGGGTGTTTACCCTGCATTAGAGAAGACTCAGAGAAACACGACAGTTATGTTCAAGTGTTTCAAATGCTGTCATGTAAAAGGTGGGCTAGTTTTGTTCTGTTTGGTCCAAGAGGCATAATCAAGAGCAAAGAGGTCAATTTAGACCTGATGCCAGGAAAAACTTCTAACAATTAGAGCTATGCTGAAGTGAAATGGAATTCCTTCAGAGGTTCCCTTCTTTGAATGTCTTTTAGTAGAGGATGAATGACTAATTGTTAGCTATGTTATAGTGGGGATTCTTACAGGGCATGGTTTGGATTAGGTGATTGCTGAGACTCTTTCCAAATCTTAAATTCTGTGACTTCATCGTAATTTTTATTACAGTGATACTAATTTAAAATCCTTGTTGAACCAAAACTGAACACTAGGTACTTACAGTGACCAAGCTTGTCCTTAAAAAAGAGATAAGAAAATGTACCCACCTTCCTTTTTTGCTGAGGTGGGAGACTAACTGTGGATTAGTTTTGGTGATCTACCTCCTCCACCTTTTTTAAAAATTCTTTGTTATAAGGCATGAAGGGAGGGATGTATTTGGAAATAAAGGATGATGTATTATAGGAAATACAAGATGATGTAAAGAAAAAAGGTATCAAAAATTTTATGAAACAAAAAAAAACTCATTTAAAAGAAAGATAGTAGATGAGAGAAATAGCTTAGAGGCATTTGACTACCCTGAAACTTAGAAACAACTAACCTCGAATGATTTCTATTCTATAATAAGAAAAGCAGGATTAGACAAGTTTTTATTTAATTTACAGGATTAGGGAGGCAACATGGTAGAGTGGAAAGATGCTTGACTTGGAGTCAAGATACGTGGTTTCCTATTGCACTTAAATAACCATGTGACCATGGGCAAATTATTTGCCTCTCTGATACTTGTTTCCTTATCTGTAAAATGAAGGTGATATCCATAGTACTTACCACACTGGAGCCTTTATATTAGTGGTCTCCACAGTAAGAATGACCTGGGCCTTGCCAGTAGGAAAAAGTGGGAAGACAGCTTGTCTCTAACACACCCACACTTACCCTTATCCCCTAGCACTCACCCACTTCATTGTTTCCCTTTGTTGTACAAGTTTTCCTTACCTTCTTTTTTCTGAGGTGAGTTTCAAGCCTGTTAGGAAAGCTATAACCTAAATTATCCACTGCTCACAGCAAATCTGCAGAAGCTATTAAAAAAATTCACCCCCAGATCACCAGATCAATGGGTAGGTACTCACTGAAAGGCAGAAACAAATGAGAGCCTCAACCCTTTTCATTTTGAGTGGGTCCGAATGAGTTACATAGGATGAGCAGTCATTGATGGATTGTGATCTTAATCATAGATATTCATTGTTACTTTTCTCTCCAATTCACTTGGCTACCATACTTCCCTGTTAACTCTTGTGGGCACCACCAATCTTCTAGTCACAACCTGAGTGTCATATTCTATTCTACATAGTAGTCAGTTTCCAAATCTTGTTGGTTCTGCCTCCACATCTCATATCTGTCCTCTTCTTTACAACCACCACCTCTTTTCTGAACTCCTGCAGTAGTCTCCTGATTGGTCCTCTTGCCTCATATCCTTCTCCTCTTCAATTTACCTTCCACACAGCTGCCAAGGTTATTTCTCTACGGTACAGATCTGACCATGTCACTTCACTATTCAGTGGCTCCCCTTTGACTCTAGGATCAAATACTATTTCATCTTTATATCATCCTTTTAAGAATTTCTACTTTTGTGAATATTCTATAATGTATGTAATATTTATTATAGTAGTATGTATAATTATAAATAAGGAAATATACTCAATGCAAGTACATGCTCAAAAATTTTTTTACTGATAGGGATATGTGTTCAAAAAAGGTTTGGAGACCTGTTTGTATGGCTTTGAAAAGGAACAATTTCACCTTGTTGGTATACCATGTATGTTGATATGACTTACTATCTTGAGTCATCATCTTCTTTCTGGTCCACCATAATTTTCAGAGAATTTGTTTCTTAATTAAGTTTTCATATTTCTCATGCCAAGCTGTTAATTCCCTTTCTAGTTCTGTCTTACATAGCTCTTATTTCTTCTCCACTTTTTCCCTCTACTGCTCTGATTTCATTTATAAAAACTTTTCAAACTTTTTTTAAGCTTTTAAAAAAACTTTTTAACTTTTTTTTTTTAAACTGTTGCATCATCTCTTCCAGGAATTCTAGTTGAACTTGTGCCCAAACTTTTTCTTTGAGGCCTTGCATGTTGATGTTTTCTCTTCTTCTAGATTTGTGCCTTGAACATCCCTGTCACCGTGGAAGGTCTTTTTCCATTTACTCATTCTTCATACTTTCTGACTTTGAACCTGGCTGAGCTGTGTGCACTTCTGGAGAGAATGACTGGGCTGTTCCTGCTGTTGCTCACTTGAGGTCATTCAGGAAGGGATGAGGATACTGAATTCCATGCTGGGACAGTTAAAGCTTTCAGTGTTCCCAGAAGGGTTTAGCCAGGGCAAAGTCTGATCAGTGCCCTTCTATTCTGCAGGTTTCTGACTTGTGTTGGTATCTGAGCTATGGGCTTGCCCCTGGTTGGAGTATCAGTAGACTGCTGCTTGACTTAGCCACTGGAAAGCTCTGCAGGTTCCCTTTTTTTTGGTCTAGGGCTCCTGCTTGGAGGTTTCAGATTGGACATAGAGATGAAACTGAGACCGTACTCCATTCCTGGTGGTAGGGCTACAGAGCTTATGCTTGCTTTTAAACTTGTTCCTTTTTCACTTTTTATGCCCTTTATAACCTTTATAATCTGTGTAAGGACACATCTTTCCAGTCTCATTACATATTACTCACTTTACTGTGCTTTTTTTTGTTCCTCATATATGAAACTTCATTTCCTGACTCTATGCCTTTTGCATTGGTTGTTCCAGTGCCTAGAATGCACTCCCTCTGCTCTATCTCAAAGAATCCCTCACTTCTTTTTACACTCATTTCAAGCTTTAGTCCAGCATCACCAATTTCCTATACTGGATTTTCAAACATCACAAACTCAATATGTTGCAAAGCAAATCCATTATCATTCCTCCCAAACCACCCCTCTTCCAAACTTCCCTATTTCCATCAAAAGCATCACCATTCTTCTAGTCACCCAGGTTCATAATGTCACTTATGCTAAATTTCTCACTCCTTCATGCCAAATGTCTAGTCATTTGACAGATCTTGTCATCTCTTGTATCCAAGTAGCCATTCACACAATTATCACCGTATTTCAGATCCTCAGTACCTCTTGCCTGAACTATTGCAATAGCTTACTACTTGGTGTCTCTCAATTTGAATCCATCTTCCACAGAGCGAATAAAGTAGTTTTCTTAAGTGCAAATTTGACCATGTCAAATCCCACTGTGCCCCCCCCCATTTAGTAAACTGCACTGGCTCCCTATTAAATATAAATTCCTCTGCCATTTAAAGCTCTTCACGATATAGCCCTGCCTATTTTTTTTTTTAAGCCTTTACACATTACCTCTTTCCATGCATTCCGCAATTCAGGCTTCTTGCTTCTCATGCACAGTATTCCATTTCCTGTCTCTGTGCTTTTTCACTTGCTGTCCTTAATGCCTGGAATGATTTACCTCCTCTTGTAATAAATCCCTGGCTTCCTTCATCCTCAGTTTAAGCTCTATTCTCTGTATGAGGCCTTTCCTATTACCTTTAACTGCTTGTGCCTTCTCTAAGGTTACCATTTTGTATAGCCCTATATGTATATGTTGTTCCCCTTGCTTCTTGAGTGCAGGAACTGTTTCACTTTTGTCTTTGTTTCCCTAGCACTTACCAGAATTTCTGGCTTATATAGGCACTTAATAAATGCTTGATTGAACGTCCTTGATTCACAATTCTTGATTTTAAGGAATTGCAAAACCAATATTGATTTTTTGTCTTGTCAATTGTGCCATATTAATTTGGTAGCATCTAATTGGTGTATCACAGAATTTCACTTGATTCTTTTAACAATTCTCTGAGAAAGGTAGAACAGGTCTTATCACCATTTTACAGAAATAATCCTCAGAGCTGATTAAACCCATATAGCCAGCTAACTGGAAATGGAGAATACAGTTTTGGAACTCAGCTCTTATGTCTCATGACTGTGCCTCCTTGATTTGTTAGTCACTAAGTTACTAGTGTGATGCAGTTTGTAAATCTAATAATATTTGGTTTTTAGCAACTATAAATCCCAGCCATATACCTTATTTTAAAATGGAGAATTCGTTGTATGTGTTTTGCTGTTGTAGGCATGGAAAAATTCATTGTGCACATTTACAATAATTTTTTTTTTCAAATAGGAATATGAAGCCATTTATCTAGCAAAATTAACCATACAGATGATGTCACCACTGCAACTGGAAAGATCATTATCTGTTCAGTCCGGTACTACAGGTGAGAATTTTCTCTTAAGTTCACAGGGAAGGTGATATAAATTAGTATTGTTTTTGTTCACCTGAACCAATACTAAGCAGTTGTAACTTTCAGGTAAGGAAAACAGCTTCATTAGAACATTAAGTTGCCAAAAATAAATAATTTGTTAGTGAATCATTATGAAAATTATGTATGTAAGGTGTACATCAGAACTAATATTTTTCCATCAACTTTTGGTGTCATGCCCTGTTAGAGTTGACTAAAAAACCATTTAGCCACCTAATTAATTAGTTTGATTAATCAATTAATTGGGCAAGGGTTCTTAACCCTTTTTTTATGTCACAGACCCTTTTGGCCATCTAGTATGGTGAAGTTTATGAACCCTATCTTTGAATGCATAAAGGAATTTATATATTACAAAGGAAACCAATTACTGAAATAGTTATCAAAATATTAAAACAAATTCATGGACCCAAGGTGAAGAACTTCTGAAAGTCTCCTATAGTTCAATGCCATTAAAATTTTCTTAAAATGCATTTCTGTTCCACAGATGGTACATTTATTTCTAAACTAAATATGAATTAAGCAATATTTATTATCTGCCAGCCTATCATTGTGGTAGGCTATTAAAATATAGTCTTCAGTGACTCACTTTCACTTGACGTAATTTCTTGAGAGAAAAATGTGATATAGTGGATAAAGGGATGGCCTTATAATCTGCTTCGTTACATACTGTGTGACAGTGGGCAAGTCAGTCTTTCAATTGTGGACAAGTTGCAGATCTGCATTGAAATCACAGGTTTGAACCACAAATTTTTTTTTCCTTATGCTATTTTCTTTCCATATAGCACAACTAGTTTGTGGTTAAAATATTTGAAGATTTGGGGGGATTTGCCAGGTGATTAGTTGAACCTTGCTTTTATTTTTGCCCAAACCTGTGATTGTATTGGTGTAGAGAGCTCATCTCAGTGATCAGAACCAGTGCAGATTGGGCAACTACTCTGCATCCTAAAGGTTGTCTAGTTATGTACACCTCCCTTCTCTACAAAATCCACATTTAGTAAATGAGGAAACTCAATGAGAAGTTAAACATGTCACATAATTAGTAGTAAAACCAGGTCTAGACCTCAGGTCTTCTGACTTCTAGTACACACACAGCAACAAGAAAATGAATATTAGAAAATAAAAGTACATAAATAGTTCTGCTGCTGGTAAAGAAGATATTTCCTATGAAAAATTAATCTCTTATATTTTATCAGAGTACAAGATCAATTATTTTCATGTTTGAATCTTCCCATTGAACTAACATAGGATATTCATCAGTATCTACCCCATTATAATATGGCCCTTAGGGACTATTCTTTGGAACTACTGCAAGTAATATAAGGCAAGAGTATTTGGTGATGAAGCTGCCTCTCTTGACCTATTTAATTTGTTCCTCATTCCCTGCAGTTTTTCCTTTATTGAGATAAAGAAATTTCTCTTGCTTTTTGTTAGGGAGCATTCTAAATAGTTGTGGAAATTTTTGATTTTTAGTGATAATGGCTCCTATTTGAAAGGATATTCTTTAAAAGATGCCTGTATCTCAGAAAACTTCCTGAATATAATAGATTCCTCATCTGAAGGTAGCAACTATGAAATGATTTCTCATGCTCTTTGGCACTATTGATTACAGCTGCACCTAATATACTGTACACACTGTACATCACTATTATAACAAAATAATGTAAAAAAACATTAAATGCCTAAGTTGAATATTATTTTCCCCCAGATCCCTGAAAATACTAGAAGACTTTCCATATTTCCATTCCTGCTAGAAAGAGCTGACTTAAATTAGTTGTTAGGGGCACAAAGGTCCAAAACATTATAAAATTACAATTCCTTCCTTTCTTTAAAGTATTTTAAGACACAGTTTTTAAGATAGACATCTCACATAAGAATTTAAAATAGTTGTAAAAAAACTTTACTCTGCCATGCAAGTCTTCAGTCTCCCAATGACTTTTCATAGTTAAGTACACGGGATTAGACTTTCCTGGAACACCTGAATGCATAGTAACAACTGAACTATTTAAAAGCCCAGTTTATGTTCTGTTTATGTTATAACTTTTAGGCAGCTTGAAACGTACATATGAAGAAGAAGAGGAATTTGGAAATATGCAAGTTGCTGCTGCACAGAATGGATGATGGTGCCTCAGACCAACATTATATAGTGTATGACTTCCTGTATGTGAAGGGGAAAATACATTAATAATGTAAAATGACAAAAACACAAGTAGCTTCTTTTCAATTACATGTTGCTTCCAAATGTCTTTCTCTGCAACTTGCTAAGCAACATTTTAAGAAAATGATGGACTTCTTCAATAGATGGCACTGATTGTTTTCTTTTTTTTCTTTTCTTTTCTTTTTTTTTTTTTTACACTTTACAGTTTTATTATAAAACAAGATTTTTGGACTTGCAAAGAAGTATTATTGCAATAATGCACTTTTCATACTTGAAAATTTCTTTATTTGTATGATATAAAGTTATTACTTTAAAACAAAATGCAAGTTGGGGAGGCTTGTTTATAAAAATTATTTGTAATTTATAACAATTTACTAAAGAAAAGCTGTTAAAATTCATTTTGTGTTTATACATTTTTAAAATAATTTTACAATTATTATTTTTTTAGTTTTATGGTGGGACTTCTTACAGAAATATCAATGCAAGAATCTGCCACATTTTGAGTAAAAGTTTGTGGACCTTAACCACCCTTTCATATTTGAAAACTTTCCGTGGACTTCTGCAATATACTTCAAATCATGTCATTGGTTCAGCTTCCCTCATCACTGCATTGGCTAGCCTATGTAAAACTTTTAATGAAAGAGGAAAATACCTCCTTTTGCCAAGTGTAACACTGGTATTTCAGAAAAAAAGATTGAGTTAGAAGTTTCAAGTGAATTTTCCTGTTTGGATTTTCTTTTGGTGAAAGCCAGGTGTATCTGTGTTTTTGGAAAAGTATCTAGCCTTTTTCCTTTGTCCAGAACTATTCCAGATACAAGTTACAACATGTACACTGTCATACTGTTTATTTTTTAATTCTAAGAAGTAGAAAAGTGCCTTCTATTATTTCTAAAATTAGCTTTATCATGGCCTACAAATTGGATAGCACTTAGAACAGTGAAAATGTTTACAAAAAATTTTATTATTTTTAGATATCTTAAGTTTTTAAACTGGAAGTATAAAGCTTAATGTAAAAATTTAAGCAAATTGTTTAAAATGGACCACATTCTTCCCAGCCAATTTTGTGCTATCGTTATGACTATGAGATTCTCAGATTGAAGCTTCTCTTTGCAATGACCTTTGGAATGGTTTCTGGATCAATTACTTAAGAAGTGTTTTAAGCAAGCACATTTTATGGGTCTTTGGTTTTAATATTTTTACTTACTTAACAAATATAAAAGGTACATACGATAGCATTTATTGCTTTTCCAAAATATTGAAACAGAAATAAATTTCTTTCCACCTCTTTATTTTTGTTGGATAGCAAAAGCAAAACTTACCCCAGTGGTTATGTTTGGGTGCTTAATGGATTTTCTGTTCTAGGGGACCTGTTGTTTCTATCCCCTCCTTCTGCCCAGCCTCTCCCCAAACCCATGAATAATGCCAGTAAAAACATACATTATTAAATCATACAACATTTTGGGAGAATAGTTTACTTAATATTTCCAGGTTCACTAAGACATTAGTTTACCCACTTAGTTGGTATATGGCTTCCAATGAATGAATGAGTGAATCAGTTTGTGAATGTTATGAGTTATATAATCTTTTAAATATCTAAAATCATCACTAAAAAAGGGTATAATCTTACAAAACTGCAAGGCAATTTAGTGTTCAGTTCCTACTGGTTTTATTCTATTTTCAAGCATTAGTGCTATTTATTACTTTGCAGATTTTCACTAGAGACTTAACTGAAATCTAATTGGTGATGTCAAGAAACAGCTTTTGCTTTAATTGGATCACTATGGCATTAATAAATGTCATCTAGCCCTTATTGTTAGTTATATTTTAGTATTTGATACTGCAGCTTCATTCTGTAGTCATTTTGCATTTAAAATAATTTTAAGGGTTAGCTAGGTGGCGCAGTGGATAGAGCACCAGCCCTGGAGTCAGGAGGACCCGAATTCAAATTGGGCCTCAGACCAGACACTTGATGCTTACAAGCTGTGTGACCGTGGGCAAGTCACTTAACCCCAATTGTCTAAAAAATAATAACAATAATTTTTAAAAATACTTCATGTAGGTCCAAAAGTTCAGGCTTATCTCAATTTTGTCTTTCCTTTTATTAGTTTATTATTACTATAGTATTTATTAAACTTTTCCAATAGTTTAGAGAAATGCATTTTTAAATGTACCCATTAATTTCTGTTTAGGTATTTGTCCTTTTGTTTTGTTTTCTTGCTGTTTGATTATATGCTATCACTGAAGTGCCTTTGTAGCACTCTTAAGTTTAAACAGTGTCTCACAGTCAGTCATTGTCTTGAGAGTGAAATTAATGCCTGCAGGCAAACTTCATTCTGGTACTGATTTTCTAGGTCTCATCTTCCTGTTGAATGTTGTTTAATTTTTTGTTTCCTTCATGGAATATTTTCTTTCCATTTTTCAACTTCAGGAAAGCCTTTAGTTTGCGATTCCTTTGTTCTCACTGATATTTAAGGATCTAAATTTTTCATCTAAATTTGATGCATGAAAAGAACTAGTCCTATGACCTATGGCACTGAGATCTTTTTTAAATAATCCATTATAATTTTTATTTTGAATATATATGGCCCTTTAGGGTTTTTCAACCAATGTGACTTAATACCCAGTATTATTATTAATGCACATATGTAGTGAAGTTAAAGTAAAATGGTATCACAGTTATATATATGCATACAGCAGCATGAAAATCTACTATTCTTTATTGCAGAAGAAAGTAACATTTTACCATTGATTATTATATTTCAGATGTTGAAATTAAAAGATGTTCTTGCTTCCTAATTAGGTCATTTTGTTCATGGTACTTTCTCTAGTCTAGAAAAAGTTAAGACACTATTTTCTATTTACTGGTTACTTCTATAAGGTGAGGAATTTAACAGAGAGAACTTTTGCTAGTATCTCACCACTAATTAACTTTTGAAGCAGAATGTTAGTTTTTAATCTTATCCTTCAGGAGAACTAAGAGGTATTATATGAAAATGTTAAATATTTCCTTCCCCTTCTTTCCCTTTAAAGGTCTCTAACTTTTTATTCATAGTGATTCAACTGAGTTGTCTGAAACTTAACTAAATCTTAGGTTGGAAATCTGGGATATACATATCGGGACCTCAATTTATTGTACAGTTGGTCTACAACCAACTGCATAATTTGACACTGGTGAAAGTTATTACATGCTAAACCAAAATTTCTTATTAGTGTTCATCTGGATCATTGTGCTTTCAAAAATGGTAATTGAAACTCCTGAAAGGAAAGTTTTTACCTCATTAAAAAAAAAGAGGACCCTGGGATTTCAATAGTTTTTGAATGCTGGAGTTTCTTTTCCTGGCAGCTAAAAATCACTTAAAATATTCAGGTTTACATACTAGCTTCCTCCTATAGGGAGATGTCATACCTCACAGTTCAAGGTGCATCCTGAATTGCTAACATTTTACTGACATCTAGTTGTAATTTACTATGCAGCAAAATTATTCAAAAAGAACAGCCTGTCTTTGTAATGTGTTTAATTTATTCTGCTTTTAACAAATGTACCTTAGACAAAGTATTGAAGTGTATAGGAATGCCATAGTGCAAGAGGCTAATAGTTCTTGCACAAAATACTAAAAATTTATTTTGTGAAACTATTAAACTCCATACAAAATATTTAGCATCTTGTGCCACTGTGTCTGAAAAAAAGAATTTATTCATTTAAAACTGATTTTAGCCACTTGATATCATGAATAAATGTTTTTATATTTTCTGTTGATACTGTGTGTAGTGTAGTCCAATGGTTCAGACTTTCCATTTTCTAAGTACCTTTCCTAAGAATGTGGTCCAGACTGGTTTAAAATCCCAATTATGTAAAAATGTGAATGGATTTTTTCAATATTTTAGTTTCAGTTCAGTTTTAAATCTAATCTACATTTTTAAAATCACCAAAGCTGCTAAGTTATATTTATTCAGACAGAATTATTTTATTACAGAAACTCAGAGTTGGAAAAGACTACAGGAACCATGTAGTCCAACCAGTACCTGAGCAAGAATTCACTTCAGACATTTCGTTTTCCTTTTGGATGGCTATAATTACTGAGAAGTCAAAATTGGCCCCTCTGCAACTTCTATTCACTGCTTAGTACTGCCTTCTGACTTCAAGCAGAATAAATCTGAGCCTTCTTCCTAGTCCCTTCGAATACTTGAATACCTGAATACTTGAAATACTTGAATAATAAATTATCCTCCTTGGTCTATAGCTTAGAATTTAGAATCTCTTGGATTATTGAGAGTAAGAGGGTCTAGTGATATGAATCACTGAGAGTAAAGTTTTAATAAATCTCCAGCTTGGGTGTGATTTTTCCTCTTATTTTGTTTTGGTGCCACTTCATTTCTTTCTTTTTTTTTTTTTTTTGATGATACAATCGGGGTTAGGTACCTTGTCCAGGGTCACACAGCTAGTAAGTGTCAAGTGTCTGAGGCTGGATTTAAACTCAGGTCCTCCTGACTCCAAAGCCCAAAGGTTTAGCCACTGCTCCATCTAGCTGCCCCACCAGTTCATTTCTTTCCAGCATGTTTTCCTCACTAATTTTTTTACATATCTTCAAATCCAAATGTGAATCAGTTTTGATTTTTCTTAACAACTGGATGGCTTCTATGGTTTACTTGGTTCTTTAGAAGTAATCTAAAAAACAGTATATCCAGGAAAGCACTAGCCATCTTGGTAGGGATGAGAAGCAAAGCAAATACAATAGCAGATGATGAAAACAAATGATCTTTAATTATCTTGCAAACAGCTAATAAATAACACTGACCATTACCCAAGGGACCTAGAAGTTCAAGAATTATTAGAAGGGAACATATGAAAAATTTTACAATTTTATTCAACAGAATCACTATTCATGTGAATAGTAATTTTATGTTTTTATTTGATATTAAAAATAAAATCAGAAAACAGCAAACACTAAAAAGTGCATGTTATCACTGAGAAAATCCCCATCAAATTTTATGAATGCAACAAAAGCAATGTGATTTTCCCATAAAATATTCATCAAAAGGGTAGCTGAGAATGTTGTATCTATCAGTGAAAAGCTATGAGACAGATCTGTTTTTCAAAATTAGGGGGAATTGAAATTGCCATAAAGTACCTCTATCAGATAAACAGATGCCCAGATTCAGTGGAAATCAAATTATATTTGACATGGTTGGATAAAATGATCTACATTAAATTTCACAGGTAAAACAGCTACTTCTTACTTTGAATCTCATCATTTCATCCCCCCACCAAATATTTACTAGGTTTTCATCAAATTAAAATACTTCAAATGAAAGGTTTTTAATTTTTTACAAAGCTATAATCTAATGTTTGCCAACATTATTATTATTACCTCCCCAAAATATATCTGTGTTCGATGAGTTACAATGGCTAGTTTATTTAATATTAAGAAGTCAGCTTGCAATTAAACCCATGTCTGTTTTTTATTATAATTAAAGAAACTAGTTATCTAACAATTTTGTACACTACAGGATACTCTCTTATACAATGTTTCTTTTTAATAAAAAGTAAGATAATAAACAAATAAGATAGTAAACAGATACTCTACACTTTGACTACAAAGAAATAAAACCCAATTTTAGAAAAATACAGGAAAAATTTCAAGTTAAAAATATATTCCTTTGGTTAAAAGTCATCTCCTTCATAACATTCATTTATAGTCTGTTATCACAGCATGCTCCACCAATCCAATTTAATCTTCTAATACGCCAAACTTGTGGACTAAAATTTTTGTCCAATATTTTATGGGGGCAAGGGAGGTGTCACTTGTTTTGTAGCAATAAAATACTTTGATTTTCTAAAAGAATAGCCTAGTTGCAATAAATTTCTTTGTTTTCATTCTAAAAACGATTCTTGGTATCACTACTTTAGAAACCTGTGATACATGTAGTTTTCTTCAGATACGGTATATCCAAACTTTTTATAGAAACCAACGTTTTGTGGAAGACATTCAAGGGTAATTTTGTAACAGTTCAGTTTTTTACTTAGCAGAGTAAGAGTCGACAATAACCTGAAAAAGAAGAATAAACTCTAAGAATAACGTCATTTTGAACAGCTTTTTGAAACACAGATGAATTTTTGATCGCAGCTCTTTATTAGCATGCAGTTTTTAAATGAATTAAATTCTGTGCTTTCAAAGGAGTTTTCTCAAAATTAAAATATAAAATGTGATTAAAATTTATATATGAAATAACTAAATCTCCATCTTTATATCAAGGGCACGATTTTTAGATGTCACTCCTATTGCATATGTAAAAAAAAAAATACAAAAGGGTTTATGGAAATAAGATGGTAGTATTTTTTAATTGCTTCAAATATTTTAAATTTGCCAAAAACCCAAAAATTTTAGTGTTAAAACTAGAAACCAGGGGCAGCTAGGTGGCACAGTGGATAGAGCACCGGCCCTGGATTCAGAAGGACCTGAGTTTCAAATCCAGCCTCAGACACATAACACTAGGGTCACTAGTGTGACCCTGGGCAAGTCACTTAACCCTACTGCCTAGTCAAAAACAAAAAAACAAAACCAGAAACCAAAATATTTATACGTGAACTATTAAAACATTACTTGGAACCTGAAGCAAGTAAAATTCTAGATAGCTTTTAAAAAAAAAAAGTAAACAAGAGTTGAGTAGCTCCTACTTTCCATGGTCAAGGGCAGTTAGGTAGTGTGCTGGGACTGGTGTCAGGAAGTCTTATCTTCCTGAGTTCAAAAATCTAGCCTGAGACACTAGCTGCATGACCTCAGGGTCATGTCACTGTTTGCCTCAGTTTCCTCATCTATAAAATGAGCTGGAGAAGGAAATGACAAGCCACTGCAAGTGTCTTTGACAAGAAAACCACAAATAAGAGTCATTTGAAGAGTTAAACATGACTAAACAAACTTTCCATGGTCATTTATTTCAATATACTTAAGCATGTTTTTTGTTCTTAAAAAATTTAAATTGGTTTATTCCTCTTGAATCCTTTTAAAAATCTGTTATAAAAAAGATTTATAGGATTATATTGGAGAATGAATGCAATTTTAGAAGGCATCAATAAAAAAATACTTAAGTTTTGTTTTTAAAACAGTCTTAAATTGGTCAACAAGTTCCATCATTTTCTTCAGGCAACAATTTTCTTCTGCCTCATTGTAACTGTTTCTCTTTCAATAAGTATCTTCTCATTGAGAGGTTCCATCCATCTCAATTCCTTCAATTTTGAAAAAGGTTAAAAAAAAAAAGTATTCCTACAATAGGTTTGAATATATATGTATATGATATATATGCATGCACATGTATATGGTTAAGGATGATATATCTATAATTAAGGCTATTTGTGATAAATCTCTTAATCTAAAGTTGATGTCATAGGAAATAATCATATTCCTCCTACATCTGTCTTCTGTATCAATGTGAGAGACAAAATTGAATGGACCATTACTCAAACCCATATGGTATTTCTCATATATTTAAGTACAGATTTTAATCTTTTTAAAAGACAGTATATCACAGATTTAAAGCTGAAAGGGACCTTAAAGACTATCTCGCCCAATCTCATCATTTCACAGAATTGAGGCTCAAAAAGGTTTACTAAAGTGCCAAGTCATACAAGTAGCAAGCAGCAGAGCCAGAATTTGAACCCAAATCCTATGACTTCAAACCTGCTGCCCTTTCTGCTATACCTCAGTGACAAATGGCTGGTCTTCAGAAAAACTGTTTGCCAGGAGAGACAGTATGGTAGCATGGTGAGTCCTGGGTCCTTTCCACGACTTTAAAATCATGGAGTGACATTACATTGTTCTCTGGGTCCTAGCTAATAATTATTGCCAATTATTGCCCATCTTAGAAGTTGTTGACAAAAAGTATAGCTCATTTAACCTTATATTGGATTCTAAAACTGGCTTGATGAATATTTTTTTGTTTTAAATATGAACATAAAACCAGAACATTTAACTTCAAATGAGGTATTTAAACAATTTCTAAGAATTTTTAAACTCAGTTTTCTTGTTGTTGAATCATTTTTCAGTGATGTCCAACTCTTTATGACCTCATTCTTGATTTTCTTGGCAAAGATACTGAAGTGATTTGCCCGAGGTCACACAGCTACTATGTGTCTGAGGCCACATCTGAACTCAAGAAAATGAGTCTTCCTGACATCAGGCCCAGTACTCTTATCCACCATGCCACCTAGCTCTCCCCCATTTCAGTCTTGACAAGAATTCATTATGTATGAAGAACACCTAATCTACCCAAAGTTGATATTGTTTCTGTGGCAAAATACTTACAGTTTTCCCAATTGTTTTCCTCTGCATTCATCACTCACAACAACATCTTCTACTCTTCCTCTCTGTGAAAATATTTATCCTTGTGTTTATTTAAAAAAGGAACCTTTTGTGTGATAAATCAGTAAGTGAACAATCATTGACACCATTTTGATAAGTAGTCAGATAAAGAGAAATGTGTATTGTTTATAAGCTTGTATGGCATTACCAGAATACAATTTTATGTACTTTTGCCTCTATAATATTCCTGGAGGCAATATAGCACTTTGGAAAGAGTACTGGATTTGGAATCAGAGAACCTGGGTTCAAATTCCAGCTCGGGTACTTATGACGTGTGACCTTGGGCAAATTGTTTAACCTTTCTGGGTCTAAATGATATCTTTATAATCATAGAAAGATGCCTGAGTTCAATTACTTTTAGTCACAAGCAATAATTTAGTCATAATTTTGCCTTACAGAAACTCCTCCCTACTGAAACTCACACAGAACCAAGCAGCCAGCCACATGCTGTCATCCTGAGTCTACTATCTTGTTCCCACTTCTGCCCCTGACTTCAGGTGCAATTTACTTAAGCTCAGGAACTCTCCTTAGAACCATAAATCAATGCTTTAAAATTGATAAGGCTTTTTGGAAGAGTATTGCCACCTTTAAAGGTAGCAGTAAGTATAGCAATAGTTCCCTATTAAGTATTCTAGATACTTGTTTCTAGGACTTCATGCACATGACTTGATCTTTTTCTTTACCAATTCTGAGTTTTTTGGTCCACTTAGTCCTTACTTCACTCCATGCTTTGTTTTCCTTTGTATTTATCATCACACACTAAGACCAATTTTAAGTGTTACGTATAATTTTGCTGTATTTAGGGACTATAATTTTTTCCAGGGGAACAAATTTTTAATTTTTACAACAGAAGTCACTGAAAAAAGATACATTTCATGGAAATTATTCATGAGAGGTGACATTTGTTATATCACTTAAAATTAACAAAGCACTTTTCTCATGAAAACCCTATAGAGTAAATGACTAAAAGTATTATTCTTATTTTAAAGCTAAAGGAAGCCAGCTCAAGCAGATTAAGTGAATTGCCTAGAATCACAAGACTAGTAATTGTCACAACCAAGAATTGAAACCAGGGTCTCCTGACTCTCAAGTTCTCTCTGCTCTTCTATAGCTATTTTTAACACTAACATTGTTTAAATGTGTTTGTCCTATTTTGTCAAGGAATGTCAAACCTACTCTCTCAGGCTGGAATAAGAGAAGCATACCTTTGCACATGAATGGATGAACTTATGTTCTATTATCAGAGTAGCTGTAGCAACAATCTGCCCTATAGTGACATCTTCTACAACTGTAACATAATAATCCCCTGATTTCCTCATGTGCTCAAATGATCCTGCAGGAATAGGAAAAGATGTCATTATATGATAATGTATAACTTTAGTAGGTCACAGAACCACTAGTTCTGCCTGAGCATTTTTGACTATTTTGCCATCTGTTCAAATTTGAATTAGTGGAGGAAAAAAATCACCTATTACAAAAAATGACCTAGAGATTGAGAATTATACCTCAGTCTCAAATGGAGATGACATTTTAAAAAATGTTTTAAAACAAATACTTACTGTTTTTTGATAAGGCAAATACAGTATGTACATTCAATGGAACCTATTACGATATCTATACAGCACGAGAAACTTCCCAAGCCAGGCTAAGAATTGCATCAATCCAAAGACAGATAAACTTTGTTATATTTGAATTTTAGACTAAGGTAAGCCATATATAATAAACAATTCACTAATTTTTCTATTTATGTTTTCCCAATTTTGCCAAATAATAGGCACACACTGAGGCAGAACAAAGTCCATACAAAGAACAACTTATCTTCCCTTTATTCCTTTTCAAATAAAGATTGATAGATGTGTACTCACTCATAAATTGCTCAGGGCTGACCATTCCAGTTTCTGTCAGCTGACCAAGTACCTTAAAAAATCCTAGTTCAAAAAAACAAATTTCATATAAAATGACAAAATTTTCTTTTTAAGCAAAGGTGCATTTTGGAAAAAACTAAAACCTAGGTCTATGTTTTTACATGTAATCACAACTCTCACCCCCCACAAGAAACCCCCTATAAATGTATGAATATAGATGTATAAAGTATCATACATCTCTCAAATGGCAACATTAATTTTTAAAAATAGCACCTATATTTTTCAAGAAATGAAATATAAATGGATTGCATTCATGAATGACACAAATTATCACATAATACGTGACTATTTTAGTTACCTCAATTTATGACACTATATCCGAAACATAGAAACTGCTTTTAAAAACAAACATGCTTTTTCTCAAAAGCCAGAATCTTTTTTTTTCATTCTTGTAGCCACAGGAATAGACCTCAGCAAAAATCATATTCTTCAGCTTTAAGTTGGAAATATTTACTTTAAGGCTCATGACAACCATTTTGCTCTAGGTTTAGATATTTCAGTTTGCTTAATTTGGTAAATGAAAACAATTTATGTATAATCAGTTTTATTTTGCCTAAGACTTTTCCACAGTGTGGCTTATCTGAGAAAAATATTATTGGAGAAAAAGTTGGAAGAAGACCTTGTCTACTTAATAATTTCCTATAGCCCGAAAAGAGATCTGTGATTCCTTCTATATCAAAGCACTTATTAATAAACTATTTCAAAAAGTAAAAAGTGAAGATGGTATTCCTCTCAGCAGAAAGGATATTTGAAGAATAAAGGGTGAGGAGAAAAGGTGTATCTCTACCATTCCTCTTGAATTATCTTCATTGTGTATCTAATTTAATGTTGAACACAGTATTTAAATGTATATTTAAATGCAGATACAAAAACACATCATAAACATATTAACCTGTACCAATGTTAATTGGCTTTCATTAGCACAGGTAAGAGTAAAACAATCAAGGCATGATTAATAAATATGAAATCAATCAATACCTCTGTTTAGATCTGCAGTACAAAGAGGCCTCAAAACCAAACCATCTCCTGGGTATGTTGGGGAAATGGCTGGAGAAAATGTTGCAGTATTCTGGCTCCAGTCCACCTCTTTCAATAGACTTGGGTCAAACATAGGTGTTTCGTCAGGTTTCATGACTGCAATGAAGACTGAAATTAAAATAATAATTTATACAAAGAACTTTTTTGTCTCAGAAATAATAAATTTTTAAAGTTATATTTCTGCAAAGCAAAGCAATTCTTGAATAATACAAAAAAATGAGTGAAATTTAAGTTTTTAAAAGTCAGTTAAGTAATTCTGGCTTCTCAATCCTATATGCCATCACATATACATATAGACCCTTTAAAATAATATCTCACATTTATATTAGAGTTAGTAAAGTATTTTATTAAGTAACTTGCTCAGAGTCTTACAGCTAGTAATCTGAAGAGGGATAAAAACCAAGGTTTTCCTGACTCCAAGTCCACTATCCTCTACACCATGATGCCTTTGTCACTAGTTTTATGTGGAAGAAATATGTGAGGTTACAAATTTTTGAAGACAGAAGATTTGTTTATGAATTGGTTTATAAAATTTCAAAGTCTCTCCCATATTTGGATATTATCAATGTATCGAAAAAAAAAACCTCTCAGAACCTACCCCACACCCACCCCTGCCCAATCCCACTAGCTCTCAGTACTATCCCCATCACTATTTTCTGCCTTCCCAATCTTCCATGAATCAGTTCAATTCTACATTTTCTCTTCTCTTGAATCTCTTATTTCCCTGTCCTTTCACACCAATCATGCCTTGCCAAACTCTAATCCTGGATTACACCATCTTTCTCCTTTGCTCTTCCTCACAAATTGCTAAATAGAAATGGAGGGAATAGTGAAATCATAGTGACAGGGAATACCATACATTTATGCCAATTTTAAATGTGCTCACTACAAGATAATTGTTAGCACATTCCTCTTTAACTGACTTTCCTATCCCATTTACCATAGCAGCTGGTCTGAACCTTTTCTTTTCAAGCCTCTCAAGCACTCTGTCCATATCTTCTCTTCTGATGAGCTTCATATCTTAACAACAACAAAAAAATTGAAGCCACTTGGTGAGACCTTTTCTCTTTTTCCTTTCAATCCCTGATACTGTCCCACTAGCTTCTCCTTTGTTCTGGTCTTTGATGAAAAGATGGCCCTTCTGTTCATTAAGGTCAGCACCTTCACACGTACCCTCAATCCCTTCCCAATCCACTCTATTTCCCCTCCCCAATATTTAATCTCTCCCTATCTTTTCCAGCTAGCTACAAATATGCTCAAGTTCTCCTACATCTTTTGAAAACCCTTGCTACATCCTATGATTCCTACTTGGTATTGTCCTATATCTTGCCTTCTTTTTTCAACTAAACTTGAAAAGCTGTCTACAATAGGTGCTTCTGCTTACTCTTCTCACACTTCCTTTTAAAGCCTCTGTGTCTCTTGGTTCTCCTTACCATCTGAATGCCCCTCAGTTTTCTTTGTTACAGCTTCATCCATGTCTCATTAATTAAGAAAGTGTAAGAGGGTTGCCTTGCAAAAAAGGGGTGGGAGAGCCTCAGTTGAGATTAACTAGCACAAATTTATGATCAGTCAATATTTAATAGACACCTATTATGTGACAGACACTATGCTAAGCACAGGTGATAAAGAAAGAAGCAAGACAGTCCCTGCCCTCAAGGAATTTACAATCTAATGTGGAATACCACATTCAAATAAATACATATAAACAAGCTACAGACAGGAGAAATGGGAAATAATTAACAAAGGGAAGGCACAAGAATTAAGAGGGATTGGGACTGGTTTTCTGTAAAAGATGGGATTTTAGATGAGACTTACTTAAAAGAAGCCATCAAAGTCAGTAGCAGAGAGCCTGCAGGCATGAGGAACAGCCAGAGAAAATGCTTGAAGCTGACAGCTGGAATATCTTGTTCAAGGAAACGCTAGGAGGACAGTGTCAGTGGATTAAATTATACATTGTGGGGAATAAGATGTAATAAGACTATAAAGGGAGGAGGAGGCTAAGTTATGAATGGCTTTGAATACCAAATAGAGGATTTTGTTATTTGTTCCTGGAGGTAGTAGGAAGTCACTACAATTTATTGAGTACATGATCTGACATGCATTTTAGGAAAATCACTTTAATGGCTGAATGGAGGATGTGGAGTAGAGAGAGAAGAGAGGCAGGCAGACCCACGAGCAGGATACAAAGATGAAATCAACAAGCCCTTGGCCACAGATTGTATGTAAGGGGTGAGGGATAACGAGGGGTAGAGAATAACTCCTAAGAGCATCACTCCTAGGTTTCGAACCTGAGGGACTTGAAAATGATGTCCTCTACAGTAATAGGGAAAGTATGGGGGGAGGGAAGGGAAGGGTTTAAGGGGAATGATAATGAATTCTGTTTTGGACATACTGAGTTTGAGATCCCATTTGAGGTGTCTGAAAACCAGCTGGAGATGCAAGACTGGAGGTAGCAGAGAGGTGGGATAGGCAGACTTAAGAATTGTCACCACAGAGATAATAATTAAATCCATGGAGCTGATGAGATCAAGTAAAGTAGTACAGAAGAAGATAAGTCCATGGCAAAACCATATGGGACACCCTATAGTTAGAGGGCATGATCTGGATGAGGATCTATCAAAGAAGAATGAGGAGTGGTCAGACAGGCAGGAAGAGAATTAGGGGAGTAGCATCCCAAAAACCTAGGGAGAAGCGAGTATAAAGGAAAAGAAGGTGATTAATAGAGGTCAAGGAGAATGAAAACTGAGAAAAGGCCATGGATTTAGCAACTAAGAGATCACTGCTCACTTTGGAGAGAGCAATTTCAGTAGAATAAGGTCAGAAGCGAGACTGTAAGAAGAGAGTGAGAATAGAGTAGATGGTCTTTTGGAGGAGTTTAGCCAAAAAGGGCAGAAGAGACATAAGCCACTATTTGGCAGGGACAGAGGATAAAGAAAGGGTTTTTTCCGGATGGGGAGACATAGGCATGTTTGTATGCAGTAAGGCATAAACCAGTAGACAGAGACTGAAAATAAGTCATAAAGACGGGATCATGGAGGCAGCAATCTGTAGAAGAAGACAGGATGGAACAGGATTGCTTAAACAGGTAGAGGGGTTGGCCTTGGTAAGTAGTAAGGCCACCTCATCATGTGAGACAGGAGTGAAGTAAAATAGCAGAATGCATCTGACTGATAGGATATAAAGAAGAGGGAAGAAGCGAGAGTTCATGGTGAATGACCTCAATTTTTTTCTGTAAAATATGAGGCAAAGTTCTCAGCTGAGAGAGTGGAGGAACAGGAAGTCATGGGAGGTTTGAGGGGGAATGAAAAGGTTCGGAAGAGCCACTGTAGAGGGGGAGAGTGGGATAATGAGCTGATGAGGTAATTCAAGTAGGACTACCTAGCAACAGTAGAAGTAATGTAACAAATTTGTAGCAGACCTAGTCAGGGCAGTTGCCTGATTTTCTTCACCTTCATTTAGCCTCACATGTGCAGGAGTGAAGGTGGCAAATGGTGGGACTGATCCACGACTGAGGCTTGGCAGGATGTAATTGGTGAAATGATACTGGACTAGGGATTCAACAGAGGACTGTGTAAAATTGTCACCAAGGGGTAAAGATGGGAAATAAGGAGAGAATAGCTAATGCAGGGGAGATAGCCTGGGAGATAAAAGAGGAGTCAAGGGATTGGAGGTCATGGTGTAGTTGAAAAGTAAGATTTTGTAACAGTAATTTGGCAGAAACTTAGCTTTAATTCTTTCCCATACAAAAAAAAATTTAAATATTCTATTATAACAAATTCAGTCTAGAAAAATTAAATGTGTAAAGGTCTAACAATGGACTATATTTCCAAATCCAAATAAGGCTACCATTAAAAAACCAAAACTTTTTATAAGTTACTTTAAAAGAAAGATTCATCTGTCTTCTCTAGGCCACAATATTTTGTATCTGTACAATGAGGTACTAGATGAACCCTAAAGTGTTTTTCACCTCCAAATCTTTTAAGGTTTTTCCTCACAGTAGTAAAATATATTAATACGATACATATTAGATAAAAATAAAAATGTGACTTAGTAAGCACTTATTAAGTGCCTACTATGTGTCAGACACCGAGCTAAGTGCTAAAAATACAAAGTAAGGCAAAGGTCTTGAGGTGGTCACAATCTCCTGTAGGTATGCATGTAGAGCCCTGTGGTACACTCATGGTTAGTGGGTGTAACCTGGATGAAGAAGAGACTGAGAAGGAGCTATTAGATAAGGTAGGGAGAAAACTAGGAGTGGTGAGAGAAAAGAGAGTATCGAGAAGAGGGTGAATAAGTGTCAACAGCTACAGAGAATTCAAGAAGAATGAGGATTAAGAAAACGCCATTAGATTTGGCTAGTAAGAGATTACTGGTAAATTATGAGAGAGCAGTTTCAGTTGAATGAGTTCAATTAAATGATGAGATTGGAAGGCAGATTGTAGACAGTTAAGAAGAAAGAGGAAAAGAAGTATAGGTGCCTATTACAGCCCTCTCAAGGAGTTTAGCTGCAGAAGAGGCATAGGACAAGAGCAGGAATAAATGGCTCATGCGTGAATTTTTTGATGATGGGGCAGATATAAGCATGTTTATCAGCAGTAAGGAAGTAGCCAGTAGACAAGGAGAGATTTGAGGTAAGAGAAAGAGGGTAAGGATGACAGAAGCGACAGTCTACTGAAGGAGACAGGATGGAATAAGATTACTTGTGCCGGTAGGAAGTTTGCCTTGGCAAGGAGTAATGTGAGACAAGTAAAGGCATCTGAGTGATATACGAGGTGGAGGTAGATAATAAGGAGCACTCAGCTGAATGGCCTCAATTTTTAGAGTAAAGTACGAGGTAAGGTTCTCAGCTGAGAGGGCCAGGGATGGGGGAGTTGTGGGGCATTTGAAGAGGGATGAATAGGTTTAGATAAACCTTTTCTCTTCAGTCCCTAGCCCCCTTAATATCAATGATTTCACACACCTAAGCCTTAGCCTTGGATCACTCCTACTATTCACTTTAACTCCTGCACACGTGTTGTGAAACAAAGGTGAAGAAAATCACATAACTGTTCTAAATGTATTCACTACAAATTTATGTTACACAACCTCCCCTGGGCCCTCACTGCTAC